AGCTTCTCTGTGACGCCTGACTCATGTCTCTCTCTTTCAGACATGGCCTCACTGTGCAGCCCAGGCTGGCCTCAAATTCACCTCCACAGCACTGAGATCACAGGCACCAAGCCACCCCGGCCTGTCTTGTTTTTCTGACCACCTAGCTGCCTCGTCAGTGCTACCTCTGGCTCTCTGTCCCCATCCCCACCTGTCAACACGGGAGTTAAGGGAAGCACAGCCTCTTCCTAAGGACCCTCCACCCCAGGCAACCACTCAGGGCCCTGCCTGATCCCTGCCCTCACGTCATGGCTTGGTAGATGGACTCAACGCCATAGCGCATGGCAAACTCGTCCACGATCTCCTGGGCCGTCTCATCGTAGTAAACCTTCCAGGCATCATCCCCTTTAGCATCTGGGATCTTCACCACGCCATTGTTTTGCACGTCTGTCACAAAGTGGAACAGGTTCTGCCACACAGGGAACACGGTGTCAATGAACCAGGGGGCAAGAGGAAAGGAAGTCACTTCATCCTCCCATTCAGTCGTCATTTCCTTATCTCTTCCTACTCAGCCTCCAGCTCACCTATCCAACCACCATCCAACTGCCAAAAACGTCACCTACCTAGTCATTCTTCCAACAACTGAGCCACACTTCCATCCACACATCTATCCCCCCATAAATTCAATCATCCATCACCCATCTTTGTTTCCCCTAGTAACTTGTGCTTCTAGTAAGAATTCAACCCCTCACCCGTCACCCATCTACCCATCATCCACTGTCAATGCACCTGCCCAGCAAGTCAGCGGTCTCCATCTACTCAGCCCTCTGCCCACCATGTACTGATCACGCACACGTCCACCCACTCACTCGTTCAACAAACCAAGTCCTAGGTGGTTCTCTGTGGAAGCCCCAGACAGTGGGAGAGACAGACTGAGACCGACGGGAGTTGTGGAGGGGGCAGGGCTGGCCTGGGGGTCAGTGAGGGCTTCCCAGAGGAGGTGCAGGGCTCACAGGGCTTTGCGCCACGGGCCTCACCTCGTGAAGACAGGTGTACTGCACGTGGTAGGGAGCCACCTTCTCCTCGCCTTTGATCTCCACGCTGATGTGCAAGCGGATAGCACCCGACACTGCAGACTTGTCTGTTCTCTTGTCTGCAGGACGGAGTGCACAGCCACATTACAGAGTCCCGTTACAGAGTCCCGGGCAGCCCCGGACTACTCTAACGTCCACGTGACTCAGTAACCCTCCAGACCCGAGCTACCCTTCTGTCACTTCAGACTGGCTCCCCAGTCTGTGCCTCTCCCCTCAGGCTAGAATTCTGTGCCCATCCTTTCTTCACACAGGGCCCCACCCTGATATGCCCCTGTGATTGGAGGCTGTCTCCCTACTTATACTAGTGACTCTGGGCTCCCCCTACCCCCATTCAAGCTCTCAGACCCCGCCTCCCCCATTGGATTGTGCTTCCCATCTTCTGAAGCCGGATTCCAGGTCTGGGCCTCTCTCCTCAGCCTAAGATCTGCAGGTGGAGTTCCTGCCTGCCCTGATGAACTAGGGTATGCACATTCTGTCCCCCTCCCTAAATGAAAGTAAGAGGTTCCTAGGCTGTGGTCCCCTCAGGCTGGGTTTATAACATTCGCCACCCCATCAGAGTAGGGTCCTCTCCTGCCCCTCCTGAGGCGGTGCCTCCTTTCCCGGGGGACCCCCGCTGTCTGGCTTCCTGGGTCCCCTCCCTCCCCAGGGCCCTGGCTTCGCTTACCCAGGTTGTACCACACATCCATCTCGCCGCTGAGGGTCCGCACCTCGATGATTGTCTGCCCCAGAAAGTCGTCTGACTCCCGCTTGAACCTCTGCTTCACGCGGGATTTGATGTCATCGTCCTCATCCCAGACGCGTACCTTGATGCGGTCAGAGGAGTTGTGACATTCGCTGTGTGGGGCGGGGGGAAGGAGGAGGCAAGGGCAGGAATCAGGCAGCTGCCATGGGCTGGGTCTTGGACCCCTTTGCCCCAGCAGAGAGCCCCACAGGGACCCAGGCCGGCACTCACAAGTGGAAATTCTCTTCCCACACAGGGTTGAGGTTCCCATAGATGGTTTTGGTCCGTTTCTTGGTCTTTCCAACCTGGACGGTGACGTAAGGGTCACTGGATCCAGTCTTGTCCTTTGCCTGTAAGCCCTGAGCACAGACCACTAGAAGACAGACAGACACACAAGCGGGCACTGGAGGCTGAGGCTGCACACTGCCAGGCTGCCTGCGGGGACGCGGGACACAGCCTGACCTGGAGCGCAGGGCTCGGCCGGCCCAGGGGCACCCGTGGGGCACGGGATGGCCGCCTCACCCGTGATGCTGATCTTGGCTGACCACTTGGACGTGCCGTCCAGCACGCTCTGCTTCACCGCCTTCATCTGCTGCGTGTGCGCCGCCTTGGTCACCGCGAAGATCTCCTGGATGAGCTCGAAGATCTCGGGCTTGTTGCGCTCGCGGATCTTCATGCGGTCTTTCAGCACCATGATGATGTTCTGCGTCCGGTCCTCCGCGCCGTGCTTCGAGCTCTTCTCCGCTGCCCCTGCGGACACAGGGACGAGGAGAGGAGTCACCCAGTTGGGCCTCTCTCCTGCAGCTGCCTCGCGGGGCTCCTGACCGCCCACTGCCATTGGAGCTGCGCCCTCCTCAAGGCCCTTCCTGCCGGCACATCCCTGCCCTACCCTGCCCTGCCCTCCCCGCCTCACCTAGCCCCGCCCCTTGCTCACTCACCCCGCCCCCTCTCTCTAGCCCCGCCCCCGCACACTCCACCCCTCCTCACTCGCCCCGCCCCCGCACACTCACCCCGCCCCTTCACACTCGCCCCGCCCCCGCTCACGCTGCAGGCAGTCGGCGTTGAGCAGGTCCTGGCACTTCTCGTGGCACTTGACCCCGCACTCCGTGCACCGCATGCCCTGCCGCGCGATGCCCCACAGCAGCCCCTCGCACTCGTAGCAGTAGGTGGGCGTGGTGGCCGTCCACACCTCGAAGTTGTGCGGTGTCGTGCACGAGATGGGGTAGATTAAGGCTTGCAGGGTCTTCTTGTAAACGTGGTTTTTCTGCGGGGCGGGGCGGGGCGTGGGTGGCGGGGCGTGGGCGGCGGGACACCCCTCCGCGCCTGTCACACCCCTCTCCCAGCGGGGCCGTGACCCCACGCACCAGCTCCTCGTTGTTGAGCGTGCTGGAGGCCAAGGCGGAGGTGATCCCCGCTTTTCTCGACTGGACCAGAGACTGGGCCGAAGGTCACAGAGGAAGGCACGGGATGGCGTCCCACCGCCGACCGCAAGTGGGCCACAGATAGACAGACAGCGGGAGTTCAGAAGTGACCCACACCCAACCTCCCCAACAGGACGGGTCACTCCTCCTGATGGTCACGGGCACAGGGAAACCGGCACGCCATGACCCCAGGTCCCCAGAGCCCACGGTCGGGGAGCTGAAGACCCCCGGGGGTGCTGCGCAGACCCCAGGTGTCCGTCACTCACCATGGCCTGCAGTGTCCACGAAGCACATGGGGCAGGAATGAGACTCATTAGTCCAGAGGCCACCCACCCCCCAGGAGCACGGACAGCTCACAGGCCAGCGGCGCTCACCAGGTCGCTCACGAGCGGGATGGGCTTCCGCCTGCGGATGTCGGGCATGCTGTCGATGATGATGACGTCTCCCCCAGGGCTGCAGGGACACAGGGACACTGAGGGCCCAGGGCGTCCCAAGCCTCACACAGTCCCATGAGGCTTGGCAAGACACAGCCTTGCCAGGGGCCCACAGTTGAACTGTGACCCCCAGAACAAAGATGCTGAGCCTCAACGGTTGGGAAGGGGGCAGCTGCTGATGGAATTAATTAGCATGAGGGCCCATGGGGTGGGTGGCCCTTGACCCAGACGCTGGTGTCCTTATGAAAAGAGACACAGGGAGAAGACAGCCACGTGACAGCAGACGTAGAGACTGGAGTGGAGGATTTACAAGCCAAGAATGGCAAGGTCTTGGGACAAACCCCAGCGTGGGGAGTCGAGGAAGCTCCACCCTCCTTCCAACACCCCCATTTCTGACCTTGAGCCTCCAGAGCCCTCAGGACAAATTTCTGTTGCTTAAGTCCTCCCCCTCGAGAGGGACCAGGCTGAATGACAGCTGCCTGGATGGCTCCCCATAAGTCACGTGCCCAGGGATCCCCAGACCATCTCCGGTCAGCTCACTTGCTCTATTATTTTTGGAATCCTGGCTGCTACCTCCCCACCCGTGTTTGCACGGCCACACACGGAAGGCGGGCACTGCCATTTTGAAAATTATCTGTGCACCCTCCAAGCTCACCGTCCCCACTGCCTGCAGACTGGTAGCCTAAGTGGCTGCAAGTGACAGCATGCTCCGTTTATACTAAGCAGCTCTCGTTAATTAAAGAGCCCGTGACTGTAGTGAGAGCCTGAGGAGTTTAAAAGCAAAATCGAAGCAAAAGCCACTCTGCAGGGCTGCAAGTGAGGAACGTGGGCATTTGTGTCTGGTTTCTCTTAGACTCATTTCCTGAATGCACAGTGGCACCTGTGGTCCCAGGTACTCCGGAGGCTGGGGCAGGAGAGTCGCTTGAGCCCAGGAGTTGAAGGCCAGCCTGGGCAGCACAGTGAGACCCCGTCTCAAAACAAAACAAACAAATGAAAAGTGTCTCCCCTGTAAGTAGAACAATCCCAACCTCACCGGGCTGAGCCCAGCTGCAAACAGCCCTTGAGCTCTATGCTCAGAGCGTCCTCCCTGCCCACACCAGGCCACTCACCCGCCTTTGAACCACAGGGACTTGGACATCTCTCCTTCTCCCCGGGCCTGCAGGGCAGACAGACAGACGTGGTCAGTATGCTAGCCTCCTGTCCCAGCACACAGCACATCCACTGTGTGTCCCCTCTGGACTGGATCCTGTGCCCAGTTGTCCATGGGGAGGGAGTTTCTTAGGCTTCTCTGGGCCCTAATTTGTCCATCTGTGAAGGAGCTGTGAGGGTCCAGGAATGGGGAGGCGCCTGGGTACCCTGACTGTGGGACTTTCCTCCCCCACTCTCACTTCTCTGGTCTACAACACACAGCAGGACCAGGCCAGAGGTCAGTTACAGGTGTTGGCAAGGCCAGGCTGGTGTGGATGGGGTGCTGAGTATGATCAAATTGGGTGTGGGTGTGGCCAAACTGAGTGTGTGCAGGGCAGTGGCTGTGGTCAAGCTGGGTGTGGATGTGCTGCTGGGTGGAGCCAGGAGAACTGTGGGTGGGGCATTGGGCGTGGTCAGGCAAGGTGAAGGTGTGGGGGAGCACTGACTGGGGCCAGCTGGGTTGTGAGTAGGGTTGTGGCACTGGGTGGAGTCAGGCAGGCTGTGGGCGGGACATGGGGCGGAGTCAGGCAGGCTGTGGGCGGAGCACTGGGTGGAGTCAGGTAGGTTCTGGGTGGGACACTGGGTGGAGTCAGGCAGGTTGTGGGCGGGGCACTGGGTGGAGCCAAAGCAGGCTGTGGGCGGGGCACTGGGCGGAGCCAAGCAGGCTGTGGGCGGGACACTGGGCAGAGCCGGGCAGGCTGTGGGCAGGGCACTGGGCGGAGCCAGGCAGGCTGTGGGCAGAGCACTGGGTGGAGTCAGGTAGGCTGTGGAGGGGGGGCACTGGGCGGAGCCAGGCAGGCTGTGGAGGGGGGGCACTGGGCGGAGCCAGGCAGGCTGTGGGCGGGACCCAGCAGGATGTAGGTGGGGCCGGCAGGGCACGACTGCCCCTTCACTCACCTCCTGCAGCTGCATCCGCACCTTGTTGAAGGCGCGAAGCCAGTTGGCCTTTGCCCTGGACATGGAATCCTGGTCCTGGCCTTCCTCATCCTCTCGTGGCCTGAAACTAGGCCAAGGAACACATGAGCTACCAGGGCCAGCTCTCCATGACCCCAACCTTTTGGGTGTCAGGGACACTGTGATGGGCTTTGCCGGGCTGTCAGCCTGAGCCCTGTGCCTCTCACACAGTGGTTACTTCTGTCTGTGCAGCCCGTCCCTTCCCACAGTCCCTGGCCCTGTGGCCTCTCCTAATCGCATCTGCCCCACCCTTCAGACCCTCTCATGGCCTCTCTGACCCCAGCAAGCCCTAAGCTGTGACAGCTCCGACTCGACTCCCCAGGGCCCCGCTGACTGGGGACTGTGACAACCCTCTGGCCCTCAATCCTGTCCATTACCTCTCCTCAGCCTTGGGGGGCTCCAGCTTGGGTGCCCCCTCTGCTCCAGGAACAACTTCCGGCGAGGCAGGCTTGGGGGCCTCAGCAGGCACCAGCGGGGCCTCCTTCTCGGGGGCTGGCGGGAGGCTGATGCGCTTGAACTCTTTGGGCTCGACCACGGGCATGTCTTCGCGCTGGACGTAGCCGTGCAGGTCGTCGGGTACTTCCTCCTCCTCCTCCTCCTCCAGCTCCTCCTCCTCCTCCTCCAGCTCCTCGTCCTCCAGCTCCTCCTCATCCTCCAGCTCCTCCAAGTCCTCATCCAGATCCTCGTCCTGGTCCCAGCGCGGGGAGTCCTTGTGGTAGCTCACGGAGCTGTGGCACGAGTGGTAGGAGTCCCGGTCCCGCTCGTCCTCCAGCTCCGAGCCCTGCAGGCTCTGCTCCTCGGGGTCGAAGTCCTCGCTGAGCTGTGAGCTGCCCTGACTCAGCTCCCCGGAGGATGCGTAGCGGCTGCTGCCCGTGGGGCTGCAGGGAGGACGGGGTCAGGCGGGGTCAAACGGGGCACCCAGCCCCAGCCAGGCTGCAGCACCAGCTCATTGGAACCAAGCGGACCCCAAGAGACACAGCCGTGAACAAATGCTCCCGTGGCATTTGTGGTCTGTCAGGGGACAGGAGCTACGCTACACTGAGCACATTAATAAGGTGTGTGACGCTAGGGATGGGACCCAAGGCCTCAATCCAAGCACCAAAAAAATAAAAAACCAAGAAGAACAGGAAGTGCATCTGTGGACCGCCCCACCCCACTGGGCTCTGCACTCGAGCCTGCCCCGGTCAACTCTGCTTCCGTTGGAATCCCAAATCCCAGTGCAGTCCTTCCCTCTCCAGTCCCACCATGGCTCCACACCTCGGGATAAAACTCCAGCCACATCCCATGAGGCCCAGGCCCCAACCTCCCACTGTTTCCTGCACCTGCTCTCATGTCCTCACTCCAGCCACACTGCCTCCTCCTGTTCCTCACCTGTGCCCACCGCTGGGCCTTCGAACCTGCTGCGCCCTCCACCGGCAACACTCTCCCTTGCTTGCTTTACCTGGCAAACTCCAATTTCCCCAAAACCCCCTGAATGGTCACTTCCTCGGTGACCTCTGGCCAGATCAGGCCTCCTCTTATATGCACTGGTCATCCTTGACATGACCAGAAAGAAATACCAGCCTCTGCCCAAAGGCAGGCAGGATAACATATGAACCACACTGATTCTAACTGTCATGCAGTCAATCAACAAACGCTGTCATCTCTGCATTAAACACCACCTCCACTCTGGCATCCCTGGGACACTGTAGGGACCATAAGGCCTCGACCCTCAGGTCCTTGTCTGTGGTCTCTTCAGTTGGTTGCTTTTTGAGGCTGGTCCTGTGGCTCATGGCAATGAGTAGCCAGAGCGCCTTCTGCTGGCTGCACTACAAAGTCCATGCAGCAAAGGTGCCCAGCCTTTGCCTCCTTTCTCAGGCTGGGGAGGGCCCTGTGGTCCCCAGGCCTCCCCCACATAGTGGTGACTATGAACTCTGGCTCCACTCACTGCCTGCCCTGCCCAGAACCAGCCATGGACTCCTGCAAGGTCAGCCAGCTCCCCTGAGGCCACCTGGAGCCCAGAGATTGCCCTGGACACTTCACCCACACTCCAAGGATGGGCTCCACACACTGCCTGAAACCTTATTCCACTCGACTTAAATTTAACTCTAAGAAGACACGTGCGGCCCTCGTGCTGGACAGTGCACAGAGATGGGTCATTTGCAACTGGTTTTCTCACTGCACTAAATGTAAACACAACTGTGGATCCCCCACATCTCAGCCACAGAAACCCGCGTCCTCCCGCATCCACTACCTGAGCGCCTGCGGCTCCGAAAGCTCCTCGTAGCTGTGCATGGAGTCGCTGTAGGACTCCCGGGACCCCAGGGGCGGAGGGCGCACCGAGTACTGGTGCACGGAGGCGTTGGGCTGCGAGGTCGTGTAGTAGGGGGGCGGGATGCTGTTGCTGGTCTCACTGCGGTAGTCGCTGTCCCTGTCGTCCACTGCACTGTCAGGGTCGTCATCTGGAAAGACAAGGATGGGGTGAGGTGGGGAGGCCACATGGTGGGGCAATTTTATCAGGATGGACAGAGCCTTGCGGCCATGTTAACAGAGGTATAGGCTCCACGACGAGGGAGGTGACACCTCACGCTGTCTCTTCTGGGTCAAGTTGGACCTACAGTATGGGGTGTGGGGTATGTCCTACGATGGGAAGAGGGCAGGGACAAATTAGAGAAAGTCCTTGGCTGAAAGGTGAGAGTGACATCAACACCCAGGCTCTCTGAAAAACAGAATGGGTTTTTCCCATCGGGCAGTTGGTTTCTCTAAAGTCAGTACCCAGGGGAGCAAGGGGGACCCACTGGGCTCAGCGCTCAGACTCCCCGGTGCCCAGGGCGAGCACTCACATCTAGCCTTGCAGGTGTGAGAATGAGGCAGCCACGAGGCCCAGCCGCTGCCACGCGTCAGGGGAGCCCCCAGTGGTAGAGCACCTGCCTAGCAAGTGCCTGAGTTCAAACCCCAGTACTGCCAAAATAATAATTATAAGTACAGCTATTCCGCTGTGCTCCTGAATCATTTTGTCTTTTGAAAAATCTCGGATTCATTTCTGCTGGCAAAGCCAGCCTGACCAAGGCACCTGTGGTTTCCTGATTTCCTGAGTGATGGGGGCCACTGTGACCTATGGGACGGAGTGACACAAAGGAGGACAGACACAGATGGCCTGCGGGGCCTGGGCCTCCCGCCCCTCCCAAGGGGTCGTCACTCACTGTGCTCGCCCCAGCCAAAGTAATTCCAGTTACCTGTGAAGACAAATGTAGAGGTGACAGGGAGCGGCCATGTCCTCCCCTCCCCTCGCCTCCCTGGCTCATGTCAGCATCCACTGCTCCCCACTTTGGTCCCCGTTTTCCGACTGCCCTGTGGGCACTGCAGCCGAGAGTTCAGTGCTTGTCCAGCCCCAACTTATGGTTAAAGAGTCACAGGAGCTGCTGGCTTTTGTCATTTGGGCTCAGAGAGGGCAAGTGAGTGGCCCAAAGTCACACAGCCTTGGAGCACAGGCCAGCGAGAGAATGGCGCTCACCTCAGTCCCACCGCTTGGCCTCTAGAAAGTCCCCCAGGACAGTCCTGCTCACTGGCCCTCAAAGCTTCCTCTGAACGGGTGACAGCACTCTCCCGGGACGCTCAAAGGTCAGTGCTGGGCCGTGGCCTCCAGTCCCAGCTCAAAGCCACCCCTGGCTCTGTCCTTGTGCTCAGGAGCTCTGTGATTGTCCCTGCCCTCACCTCACCTGGCCCATCCCAGACCCCGCCCTCCAGGCTGCACCGCACCACCGAGGACACAGAGGGTGGGGGACACAAAGGAGGACAGGGGTTAGGGATGGCTGTGTGGGTGCTGGGGCTCTACCTGGGGCCACAGGTTTGTCACTTGGTCCCCACTCCAGAGGACCTGGGGTCCTTTAAGAATGGACGCCCTGGTGCACAGACACCTGGTTTGGGGCCTCAGAGTGCCCAGAGGGTCGAGGATGAGGAACAACGCCCTGAGCGGCCACCACCATGGTCACCAGACATGGGCCAGGCAGGCGTGGTGGCACCTGTGGTCACACCTACTCAAGATGCCCAGGCTGGAGGATGGCGAGAGCCCAGGTGTTCAAGGCTGGCCAGGGCCACACAAGGCCCCAGCCAGTAGTAGTGATGGACGTGGACCCCTTGAGTGAGGGATACTCACAGCACTGGTTGCTGGGCACCGGCAGAGGCTTGTCTGGCTCATCCCGGAACGAGTACTGCGGGAGGGGCCGCGTCAGGGGTCAGCTGGGGACCAGGACAGTGCAGCCTGTGCCACCCACCTCCCAGCCCTCGCCTTGTGGAAGAGGAGGGAAGTGTCCAGAGAGGAGGGAGAGGGAGAGAGAGAGACAGAGAGAGAGAGACAGAGACAGAGAGAGAGAGAGAGAGAGAGACAGAGACAGAGAGAGAGAGACAGAGACAGAGAGAGAGAGACAGAGACAGAGAGAGAGAGAGAGAGAGACAGAGACAGAGAGAGAGAGACAGAGACAGGGAGAGAAAGAGAGAGAGACAGAGAGAAAGAGAAAAAGAGAGAGAGAGAGACAAAGAGACAGTGATGGCTATGGCAGGGGTGAGAAGAGGGGTGGTCGGGCCCAGTACCTGGCACCACCCTGCGTCCACTATGAAAACACCACCGCAGCCTCCCCAGGACTCATGGGTCCTGGGGTCCTGGCCATGGGGGGCACAGGCCGTGGAGGTGGAGCTGGTGTGGAGCATGAGGCCCAGGACACTGGGAGAAGACTTTCCGGAAGGTTCCCACACCCCTGGAAGCCCTGGCAGGTCCACCAGTGGGTCTCACTGTACAGCCTGACTGGCCTCAATCTCGGGACCCGACCGCCCCAGGCCGGGGCCCCATGCGGCCTCCATGCCTTGCTCCCCCACACTGCCTAAGAGGTGCCAGGGCCCCACGCGGGCGGGGACGGAGCCGCAGGGACACAGATGGGCGCAGAGGCGGAGGAAGCTCGCCCACCTCGTCCTGGTCGCGCATGGCATTCAGCTGCTCCAGCTTCTTGGCCCAGTACCGCGCCTCCTCCTCCGGGATGTCTGCAACACAGCCACCACCAAGTCCTGCCCCGCGCTCCCAGGACATGGAACATGGGGACACAGGGACCCCGTGCTGGGAATCGGGAAAGGCTGGGGTTGATGGGTGGCCATGCACACCGCGACCTGGAGCTGCCTCGGGGTGGGGACGTCCATGGCAAGAGCTGTCGTGGGTACTTCCACAAGGACCTTGGGGACTTCCAGAAAAACAGACCTGGGACTCTGTCTGTCTCATCAGCCTCTGCTCTCATCTGTCTCATCTCTCGTCTGTCTCTGTCATCTGTCTGTCCTGTCTCTGTCCCCCTCCTGCATCGCAGCCCCTGTCTCTGCAGGGCCCAGCCGGGAGGCCCAGACCTGAGCCGGTGGGAGACAGGCGGCCTCTCTGGCAGGTGACCGCAGGCTGCGCCCAGCTCCACAAGCTCTGTACCGCGCACCCCACCCCCGCACCTAGGGGCAGCTCGAAGCGCGTGTCCAGCAGGATGAGATGGCAGGTTGGATCCTTGGTGCCACAGATCTCGCTGTCTGCCATGATGACCTGTGAGTCCAGCGTCAGCCACTCTCCAGGGCCCTCCTGGGGCAGGGGGAAGGGGGCTCAGGGCCGGGGCGGGACTCTGTGAGGTCCCCCACCCCGCCCCGCCATACCCCGCTCACACACAGGAAACTGGGTGCCCGAAAGAGAAACAAGTCCCAGCCACATGGCGGTGTGGAGCCCAGAGCTGAGGACCCAGAGGGAGGCCACAGGCTGGGCAGGGGCCCCGGCCACATCCCCACCCTGCCAAGTGAGGGGCTCTGGGGCTCTGACCCCAATCCAGCAAGAAAAGTGCCCAAGAGATGGAGCTTGTGCCCCAGGGCTCAGAAATGGCACCCCTGCAAGCAAGCGGGGTCCACTCTGAACCTCTGCATCTTCATCTCCCAGTGGGGTGGTCACTGTGGAGTCTCCGTCTGCTGCCCAGGAGGGTCACATTTCCCTCCCTTGTGAGGACAACCAGGACATTTTGGGTCCCCAGGCTTCATCAGAGCTTCCTTGCCTGGAGACCTGTATTCACTTCTCATTCATTCCCTCACTGATTAAAACCCAATGCTTCCTGTCACCACCTCTCAGCCTGGTCCCAAGATGCCTAGTCGCCAGTCTGTCCCAAGTAGCCCATGGTGCCAGTGGACAGAGCTGGGCACAGGCACCCCCAGCTTCATGAGGTCAGGCATAGGCCTGAGGGAGGAGTCCAGTGCAGTGAGCTGCTTCCACATGGAGGGGAAGCTGTCTCTGGCTAGCCTGTCCCTGACTAGAATGCGGAATGGTGAGCCTCAAGCAGCCACTTTGGGCCATGAGGTGGCAGAGGCACTTGGACCTCTGGGCTCTCCCAGGCCCTCCCACCACTCACCTCGTTGGACTGGCGGATGGTCCGCAGCGGGATCCACACAGTGCCCACCATGGTGTCCCAGATGAGCCCCTTGTTCCACACCTCCACAGTCAGCCCCAAGTCCAGGCGGTTGATCTCACTGTAGGAAGAGGAGGCTCAGAGAGGCCACTTCCTCCCGAAGACACACAGCACCCAAGCTGGGAAGCCCAGAGGGAAACTGAGGCTGTGAATCAGAGGAACCAGGCGTGCCAGCAGGAGGGGAAGTGTGGGGACAGATGAATGCACCCCCAACCTCCATCTGGCCAGGCCTCTGGAGCCCCAGACCCTGACAATGCAGGGAAGGTGCTCACGACCCTCCAGGGTTCCCCAGTACCCCAGGAAGAGGGTGTTCAGGGCACCTGAAGCCCTCCCTGTGGTCAACGGAAAGAACGATGCTGGGGGATGAGGGAGGGGCCTGGAGTCCCAACCTACCAAGGACTTGTCTTAGGAAGCACTCGAAATGCAGTGCCCTGGAAATGCAGTACCTGGGTGTGGTGAGCTGGGGACCACGCTGGCCCTGCCCTTGGCATCCCCAGGGTTCACAGGCCCCCCAACACAGGGCCCGGTGTCCCTCCACTGATGTTCCAGCTGTGACCCGGCCATGCTGTGTGATGCCAGCAGGTGGCTGTGCCTCTCTGGGCCTCCATTTGCTCATGTGTAAAATGGGGATTGTCACAGCCTCTCCAAGGACATGTGTGGCTCAGGGAGGTCCAAGTCATGAATTTGTCCGATTATCAGACAAGCATTTGTTAAGCACCTACTTGTGCAGGGCTCTGCAACATGGAAATCACAGTGGGGACAGAAAGCAGCCCAGCTCCAGACTCCTGGAGCTCACAGTACGGCAGTGTGGCCAGAAATCAACTTGCGTGAAGCCCGGGAAAGACAGGATGCCCCTAAACTCAGCTTGGCAACTGAGGCCCCGAGGCTCTGAGAGGAAAGACAGGAAGGAGCGGCTGGCTGGGGTGTGGCAGTGCAAAGGGCCCAGAGCAGGTGGCAGGCGGCAAGTGTGGGTTTGACTCTCAGGTTGACAAGCCATGGACAAGAGCGGAACATGGAGTGACAGGATGAGATCCCAGGTTTAAAAATATCACCCTGGCTGCCCAAAGAAGACAGATTGTGAGGGAATGGCAGCCAGCAAGCTGGGTGGATGCTGGCCTGGTGGGTAAGACAGAAGAGGAGATGGAGAAGGAGGAGGAGGAGGAGATGGAGGAGGAGATGGAGGAGGAGGAGGAGGAGGAGGAGATGGAGGAGGAGATGGAGGAGGAGGAGGAGGAGGAGGAGGAGGAGGAGGAGGAGGAGGAGATGGAGGAGGAGGAGGAGATGGAGGAGGAGGAGGAGGAGATGGAGGAGGAGATGGAGGAGGAGGAGGAGATGAGGAGGAGGAGGAGATGGAGGAGGAGGAGGAGGAGAGGAGGAGGAGATGGAGGAGGAGGAGATGGAGGAGGAGATGGAGGAGGAGGAGGAGGAGATGGAGGAGGAGAAGATGGAGGAGGAGGAGATGGAGGAGATGGAGGAGGAGGAGGAGGAGATAGAGGAGATGGAGGAGGAGATGGAGGAGATGGAGGAGGAGGAGATGGAGGAGGAGGAGATGGAGGAGGAGGAGGAGGAGGAGGAGGAGATGGAGGAGATGGAGGAGATGGAGGAAGAGGAAGAGGAGGAGATGGAGGAGGAGGAGGAGGAGGAGATGGAGGAGGAGGAGGAGGAGGAGGAGATGGAGGAGGAGGAGATGGAGGAAGAGGAAGAGGAGGAGATGGAGGAGGAGGAGATGGAGGAGGAGGAGGAGGAGGAGGAGGAGGAGGAGGAGATGGAGGAGGAGATGGAGGAGGAGGAGGAGGAGGAGGAGGAGATGGAGGAGGAGGAGATGGAGGAAGAGGAAGAGGAGGAGATGGAGGAGGAGGAGATGGAGGAGGAGGAGGAGGAGATGGAGGAGGAGGAGGAGGAGGAGGAGATGGAGGAGGAGGAGGAGGAGGAGGAGGAGGTGGAGGAGGAGGAGCAGGAACAGGAGAAGGGGGAGGGCACTCACAACATGAAGTCCTGCTCCCAGCTGGGCTGGCTGCCGCGCACAGCGATGGTGGTGCTCTTCACGTTCTGCACCTTCAGCGTCACGTACGTGTTAAACTTCTCTGTGGGCGACAGTCAGGCATGGCCAATGCGTAGTGGTCAGGGCTGAGCACCCGCTGACCACCGCCACCCCCAGGCCTGGCTAACATGTGGGGACCGATGTGGGTTCAGGGGACTCAGGGGTTCACCCTGGCAGGTGCAACCCAGTCCAGTACAGCCCCAGCAGCACAGAAAAAAAAAAGCCGCATTAAAAATGAAAAAGCTCGCTGGGTGCCGGTGGCTCACGCCTGAAATCCCAGCTACTCAAGAGGCAGAGATCGGGAGGATCGTGGTTTGAAAGCAGCCCGGGCAAATAGTTTGTGAGACTCAATCTCCAAAACACCAAATAGGAAATAGGGCTGGCAGAGTGGCTCAAGTGGTAGAGCAGCTGCCTAGCAAATGTGAGGCCCTGAGTTCAAACGCCAGAGCCTCCAAAATGAAAAATAAGGAAAGGAAAAAACTCTGCCCAGTAGGTTTGCTGTGCAGCTGGACAGACCACGGCCTGGGAAGGTGAACAAAGTTCCTATGGAAACTCCCAGGCCCATGCCTCTGTCCCACCAGAAGTGTATCCAAGTCCTGCCTGCCTTCCCTCCCTTCTGCGGGCTCAGGTCAGCTGGGGACACCTGGGAACAGAAGCCCAGGCAAGCTGCTAGGATCCCAGGTTGAGCTGGCCCAGCCCGTGTACCCCTTGCTCTTTGGACACACCCTCCCCATGGTCAGCTACAGAGAGGCCCAGACCCCTCCTGGTGTCCCCAACAGACAGAGACAGACAGACGCAGAGGACAGCAGAAAGAGAAGCCACTTACCTTGGGCACCATCAAACTTGGCTTTTTTGACTGTGGAGAGAGACAGAAATAGGGAAGGGTGACGGGAGAGACGTGGGGAGGAGTACACAGAGAGGGAGGAGAAACAGAAGACAGAGATAGGAAGGAGAGATGGGAGAGACACAGAAGAGAGAGAGGGCACAAGGACAGACACGCAGAGATGAAAAGGGAGACAGAGACACAGAGGAGAGAGGGAGGAGGAGGAGAGGACGGGGAGGGAGAGAGGCCATGAGACAGATGAGCTGCAGCCGACCTGGAGCGGAAGCAGAGTGGACCCCGGGAGCAAGCGCGCCCAGTCCCGTCCCCCCAACTCCCACCCCGACACCCTGAGATCCAGAAGGGCCTGTGGGAGGAGAGAGTGGGGGTGAGGAGTGTGATGACTTCCAATGATCCAGTCTATTGTCCCCCATGGTCTGTCCTGCCGGATGCCCCCAGGACTGGGGGTCTAAGACTGAGAAGAGGGGCACTAGGTGCCAGAGCAAGTGAGGGCTGTGCCCTGACTGGAAGCTGTCACAGGCTGTCCCTCCCCACATGCTTCCTGTCCCCTCCAGTAACCTTCACAGAGCCCCACTGTCCCCGGGGCCCACCCAAAACCCACCACACACACACCCCCAACCTGAGCAGGACCCTCTTTCCCTCCCTCCCCTTACGTGTCTCTTCTGTTCAGTGTAGGTGACTAAAGTGCACTTCTGACCAAATCCAAAGCACTGAGAACCGCCAGAGAGCCTGGCTGTCCCACCCCAGCCACTGCTCTGTTCCCAGTGTAGCCACCAGGGATGTCCACGCTGACAGCCCTGAGCCAGACAGCAGCGCCCCACGCCCACTGCTCCCACCCTCCAGGTGCCCAGCTATCATGAGGAGCAAGGGCACCGGAAGGATGAATTCCTAGAAGCACAACCGTATTTGGACAATGCACAGCCTCCCATCCTGCAGTTACTCTGTCCGCATCACTTGAAGGTCTGCCTCACTGATGAAGACAGTGTCTCCATGTGGTCGGGGAAGTGGCTGGCTCTAAATGCGTGTCATGGGGTGACCGAGCTCCTATGCAAGCACCCACCTCCCCACCAAAGACCCAGGCGTTAACGCGAGTGGACGGGCACAATGCCCACCATGCCTGGGTGTGGGAGCCGAGGAGGTGGGCCCCTGACGGCTGTTGGGAGAGGTGGGCACTGCTGGCCAGGCAGAACCAGGAGGGGGCCAGGGCTGTAGGACCCCTGGCTAGAGGACGCCCCCTCTTGGCCCCCATCTGTCTCACTCCTTTCTACATCTCTCCCGCAGGGTGTGTGACCCTGCATCCTACCGTCCTGTTTTATTTCTCCCACCCCTGCACGTCTGTTGCCAACACTGCTGTCTGTCCCCCTCATATCCCTTCCCTCTCCTCTCCTCTGCTCCCCCCGTCCTCCCGCCCCCACTGGGCTGGAGGGTGAGGGCTCCGTAGCGGGTCCTCAGACAGGGGCTCAGCCCTGCAGCCAGGACAATCAGCAGTCCCTGTGCCAGGAGGGGGAGGACTGGGTAGGAGAGGGGCTCAGCAGGGTCAGGGGCTCCTCAGTAGGAAGAGGCTTGGAGGAGGTAGTCTGGGGGAAGGGCTGTATGGAGGAGGGAGGTCTATGGGAGGGGCTTGGGGAAGAGTGAGCTGGGGGAGGGTCTCAGGGAGGAGGGGGTCTGAGGGTTTGAGGGAGGGCGGTGGGGGAGGGGCTTGGAGAAGGGAGGCAAGGGGACAAGGCTGAAGGGAGGTAGTGGCCAGGTGGGAAGGGGTAGTTGAAGGGAGGGGCAGCTCCCCTGTCCTGGTCTTCCCCGCCAGTCCCTGCCACTGTCACATCCCGCTGCGGAATCAGGGTCAGCGGGGTGGAAGCAAAGCGCCCTCCCCGGAATCAGGGTCAGCGGGGCGGAAGCAAAGCGCCCTCCCCGGAATCAGGGTCAGCAGGGCGGAAGCAAAGCGCCCTCCCCAGCGCCCTGAGCCACTGCGTGAGGCTATTTATACCGCGGCCACGGTGGGTGGCGGGGGACAGGTGGGGATGCTCGGTCCATGGCCTGTGGGGGGTCCTGAGTGGGGTTGGGACTGCGGGATCCCCACAGGCACTGCCGGGCTCTGGAAGGGGCGGGTGGGGTGGCCACCACTGTGTCACTTTGCATTGGGGTCAGGGTTTGGCTCCTCCCCCGCCCCCACTTGCATTTAGGGTTCTATGATCCTGAATTCTGACTGAAGGGACCTCAGTCTTGATGCATGGAGGGCAGGTGAGGGCGGGGTGGGGCGGGGCTGTGGCGGACCGTGGAGAGATGGGGACACACATCACACCACGGTGGCCTCACAGCGGGGAGGGGCAAGCATGGTGAATCCAGACAGATTCTGGGACGTTCAATGGTTCCCCTGGGATGTGCCTGGCACACAGGTGAGCAGGGGAGGGTAGGTGACTGTGGCACAGGGCTCTAACCACCGGCTCGCACCTGGATAAATGGGGCGCTAGGTGGAGCCCTTCTGTGGGAGCCCACGGGTGAGGTTCAGCCTCCAGGTCCCCACTGAGAGGGTGGCCAGGAATAGGGCTTTGACCTCAGAGCCAGGAATGGTGCCTGCCATACAGTAGGTGCTCTATTAATGCTCTAAATCCAAGAGTGAATTCATGAAGAAGCCAGGTGGTGTCTGGCACACACAGCCTCGGGGTCCTACCAAGAGTAGGAAGTACTGAGGAGCAGGGACAGGCCTGACCCGGTCTTGGGGACACACGCAGACGCGCAGTCAGCCTGCTTGCTTGGGCAAAGGCACAGTGGCATTTGCTTGTGGAGCCAGGGCAGGCAGGGGTGCGCAGAGGGCCTGTGCGCCGTCACGAGCCCGTGGCCTTGTGGCGTGTGTGTGAGCTTGTGGAGCACGTGAGGTGCACACATGAGCACACGTGCAGACAGGTGGCACCGTGTGTCTACATGGCGTTCAGCCTGTGCTTGCACGGATGCAAGTGTGTTTCACGGTGACAGGTATACACCCAGGCACATGTCCAAGGATGTAAGGGATCTTTACACCGCATGTGTATCTGGAATTCATCAGCCTGGTGCGGACACACCCCAGTGAGCCTGTGGACACGCTCGCCTGTGGGGGCACACTTGCCAGGACACAGACACGTGCTATATTCTCTATCTGCTCGGGGTCTAAGGGGATAGGAACAAGCCTGAGGACAGATGAACATTTGTGGGTGCGGGGAGCAAGGAGAGGGACCCCAAGGATGAACACAGACCCCATGGGAACCCCACCCAGCTTCCCTCCTGCCTAGCCCACTGCCCCCTCCCCTAGTCCCTAACCCTGGCCACCCTCTACTCCTCAGGACTCTAGTCCATCCTCACCCCAGTTTTCGACTCCCTCCACTCTTCTTCTGGGGGCGGGGGAGGCAGGGTGGGCCTTCCTAGATGAGCACAGAATCCCATACAATCCTTCCTGGAGGCAATGGAAGCCTCCGCCCTCTGGCTGCCCCCCCACTGCACCCCGCCCCCGCAGCCGAGCCTCGGGTTTGCGTCAGAGCTGAGGGTGAGATTCCCCCCTCGCCACCCCCTTTACTCCCCCTTCTGCACCCCAGTCGAGCCTTGCAGAGAACCCGGGGTGAGAGGGGGAGCAAAGGACAGAATGGAAAGCCCGCACTGCCCCTCCTCCAGTGCGGGGGGGGGAAATGCGGGGCACCAGTGTGTGTGCGTGGGGGGGGGTGTAGGTCTCCATATTCTCCTTCCCCACTCTATTGGGGTGCAAAGGGTGCACCCTGCACTTTCTCACTCCATAGGCCTGGGACCACCGCCCACCCTCCCAAGCGCCCCCCTCTCAAAAAAAAAAAAAAAAAAGAGCTCGGTCCCTTTAAGAGCACGCGCGTCCACGCTGGGTTTGTGAATGGAGCGGCGGGGCGGGGGCGGGGCGGATCCCGGGGTCCCGCGTGCGCGCGCCGCCGCCCGAGGTCTCCCGCAGCCTGATTTCTTAGATGCGGGGCTGCTTCGTGCAGCCAGCGGGTGGTGGTGGGGGGGGGTGCGTGTGGGGAGGGGATGATGAGTAAGGGGTGACCCCCACCCAAGTCCTTCAGACTTTTTTGCACCCCAGGAGGAGCCGCCATCCCCGCCCCCAACCCAGCACGGGCCTGGGCGTGGGCCTCGGTGCAGATGGCGTCCTGGCCCCAAAATAGCTGTCCACCCCCTCCACTGCACCCCGCATACACCCAGCATGCACCCCGCCCCAAGCCAGCAGCCCCCTCCCCCGGAACTCGCCCGCTCGGCCCGCACCCCTACCTCCGACGCACAGCAGAGACATGGCGCTCTCCCAGCCGGCGCCGGGAGGCGCGGGGTGGCGGTCAATGACCGCCGGGCCGGGGACAGCGCGGGCCGCGCGCTCACGCCGGGACCCAGCTGTCACCCGCCATCTTGGTTCAGCACCTGAGCGCGGACAGCGCCCGACGCGCGACGCCGGGGGCGGGGCCTGACGCGCGTGGGCGGGGCTGAGCGCGAGGCGGGGTCTGACGTCTGTGGGCGGGGCCGAGACGACTGTGGGGGGCAGGGTTTGGCGAGGGGCATTTATCGAATGTGTTTGGGCGGGGCCGGGTGGGGAGGGGCTGACGAGTGTGGGCGGAGCTGAGACTAGGTGGGGGGCGGGGCCTGGTGAGGGGCGTTTACCAAATTGTGTGAGCGTGGCCGACCGTGCGAGGCGTGGCTGTCGAACGGGGGCGGTGCCTATTGAGGGGCGTGGCCTAGCGTGTGTTGGCGGGGCCATGCGCGCGGAGCTGGGGACTGGCGCGGGTGGGCGGGGCCTGGGATGGGGGTGTTCGAGGCCCCGCCCCCAGGTCGCTGAGAAGGTGGGGTGCCCCGGTGCATCTTCCTTTTCCAGTCCTGTGGCTCGCCACCTGTCACTCGGATCTGTGTCATGTCGCCCTCCGAGCCTCGCTCCGTCCTTGCTGCGCCCTGTTTCTAAGACGTCAGGCTATGGGTCATACATTTCCTGGTGGAACTGGAAAACTCTTATACGTTCATCAATACCCATTCCCTCCTCCAGGAAGCCTTCCCTGACTTCCCAGCCCTAAGGTGTTCTTCCACCGTTCTGGACTCGCTCATCCATCCATATGGCTTCCTGTGCTTGCGCCCTGACCAGCTCCGCCCTGCTCACCACCCCCGCGTCTATGGCCTTGCCCTGCAAACCCATTTCCAGGAGTTCAAAAGGGCAGTGTGGTGCCTACGACTCTGGTCCCAGCTACAATGGAGGCAGAGGTGGGAGGACGGTGAGTTCGAGGCCAGCGCTAGCAAAGTTAGGCAGCCCCTGTCCTAAAAACAAAATAAAGACAAAGGTGTGGGGCGAGCTTCCTGTGGCCCTGGGTAGCCACACCCGCACCTGCTGGGACCTCAGCTGGCCCCTGTCCTGCCAGGCTGGGCTCAGCTGTCAGCTGTCCCCCAAAGACAGCAGCTTTGGAGGCCGTGGTAGGGTGAGGAGGCTGGGGGAGGAGGTCAGGTGGGCAGTAATACAAAGTATTACTTATTACAAGGAAGTAGGATGCGTCCTGTGTGGGAGGTGCCGCAGGGGCAGCGCGGGAACGGAGCCCTTCTTGAGGCTCACGGTGGGCTGAGCGCCTGACTCAGAAGAGGCTGCAGTGCGGACGTCATCAGTTATTCATTCAACAAACACCTACAAGGCCCCGGGTCCTGACCCTGGTCCCACTTCCAGGGTCAAGGTTGGAATAAAGAAAGAAGGCCAGTGATGGGCGGTCGCGTGTAAATCTCGGAGCCGCGCTCTCCCACTGCATCCCCGCAGTAACCACGCGCAATCCACGGAGGCAAAATGGGGATAAAAGTAATTCTAGCGAGACCAGGGCAGCAGGATCGCCTAGAGCGTTCCCGGCCACGCCCCCTGCGCGTAGAGTGGGAGAACGTGAACAACGAAGGCACTGGATTGGCTGATATGAAAAGCTGCAACTGGATTGGTCAGAAGAATGAGGTGGAGGCGGGAAGTAAGAAAAATCGGACGAATAGGATAGGCCAACTCAGGTGAAAGGCGGAGCTCCACACTCGGGGGCAGGGACTCGGTGCAATTCCCAGAGACCAGCGGAGGCAAAAGCTGCGCGTTGCGAGTTCCAGGCCCCGCCCCTCCGACCGTAGGGCGGGTTAACGCGAACAAGGAAGACACTAGATTGGCCGAAATGAAAAGCTGCCACTGGATTGGTCAGAAGAATGAGGCGGGGGCGGGAAGTAGGAGAGCGCGGAGGAATGGGATAGGCCGACTCATATGAGGGGAGGGGCTCGGAGGCGGGGAATCGGCGCGATTCCCAGCGTGACCGGCAGGGGGCAGCAACTGCTGCAGCAGCCATGGGTGGGTTCAGGGTGGGTTAGGATTTGAGGTGCGGTGGAGAGCTGTGTCGTGTCCCCCAGGTGAACCCCTAAACCGGTGTGCACTCGGGAAAATTGCACTCTTAAAAAAATTAAGTTGCTCATTACTTACCCAAGGTCCCACAGCAGCTGTGTTGGCAGCGCTGGGATTTGAACCAGCGCAGGCTAAAAGTTAGAGAGACCCCATCTTAAATAACAAGCCTGGCATGGTAGAGCACTCCTGCCAGCCCGGCTATGCCACATGCAGGAGGAAGATCTCTTTTCTCCAGGCAAACCCACCATACCTGATCTGAAAAGTAGCTAAAGTCAAAAGGGCTGGGGGGTGAGGGTGATAGAGCACATGCTTTGCAAGCATGAGGCCCTGAGTTCAAACCCCAGTGCCGCCAAAAGAAAAAAAAAAAACCCTAGGGCTCCTCTGAAGTTTTTCCTGCGACCCCATTTCTGTGGCATCTCAGCAGTACAAGAGCAATCGTCTGCACTTTCCACAAAAGGATGCAGGGGCGATGTCCACTCACAATCCTAGGTACAATGACCAGAACCGGCCTTCCTCGAGCTCCAGGCCCTGTGGCCGCCTCGCCTGGCTGAGATGGGCTGAACCCCCATCCCGCCGTGTCCCCCCTCCCCATGTCCTGATCTTTGGCCCATCCAGGCTGGAGACCCCATAGACTCACACAGGGCTGGGGAAAGGGCTAAGCCGTGGGCTTTGATCCCTGCCTGAGTGGCCCTGGAGCCACGTTTCTTGCGATAACCTCAGTGACTTGTTGGACCGGATCCCAGGCAAGGCGCTGCCTGGGGGCTCAGACCTGGCAGTGGTGGGAGATCGGGTCAGGACTCAGCTCTGTCCCCTCTGTCCCCCATGACACCGTGAGCCACCCAGAAAAGTCACACCCCATGCTGGATGTCACAAAGGCCAGCCTGGGCCACCTAGCAAGACAAGACCCCATCTCCAAAAGAGAAAAATAAATGATATAAATGGCAAGCTGTAGGCTATACATTTTGTCGCAATAAAAGGAAAGGAGAAAAAATGAAATACTACACGGTCGTGAAAAAGGAACCCTCACACTCACACCAGGTCCCCAGCTTGGGTGACCCTGTGGGACCGGAAAATTCAAGGCCCCAAATACTCAGGACACTGGTCCCCAAAAGCTTAAGGTGTGTGGGGGGAGAAGGGCCTTGGCCCAAGCCATCAATAATGACAGGAGGGCCTGGGTTCGAATCCAGAACTAATCAATGGGTAGACAAGGGAGGCAGGGTAGAGGGATGACCGGGGATTTGGGGGGCCAGAGCCTGGGTGTGGCTCCCCCCAGGTCCCACCCAGGAACAATGGCAGCCGAGGAGGGGGACAGAGGAAGTGGAGCTTGGCCGTTGGCCTGTGGCCTGAGCTGGCGGTCACCATCTGCCCCAGGGAGAGGAAGTTGGGTGGAACAGCCAGATAAGGGAGGCCGAGACGGCTTCCCAGACCTCTGGCACGTATTCAGGGGGCTGAGGAAAATGCCTGGTATACAGTAGGCGCAGAATAAATGTGCTGTCCAGTCCAGAGTGCTCCAGGTGTGTCGCACACTTTGCACCTGGGGCTGGGGATGCAGCTCAGTGCTGACCACTTGCCTAGCACACACAGCACACATGGGCGCCTGACTACACCATAGGTGTCCGGAAAACTCCTACACACTCCTCGAAGCCCTAACTACAAGACACATTTCCGTGTTTCCGCTCAAGCCTGACTCATGAAGCTGAGAGCATCCCTGGGCCCCTGGTTCTGACAGGAACCACTGTGACGGGACGTGAGTTTCCGGGGGGGGCAGAAATTCGCACCCACACGTGGTGGGGGAGGGGGAACGAATGAATGAATGAATGAATGGTCTTTTTTTGTGTGTGATGGGGGCGGCCCAAAGCGGAGACCTAGGAGCCGACCACCCCCTTTCCGCACCCTTCCCCCCAATTCTGCAAGACCTCAGAGGGCCCTGAGAGAGGTGACACAGAGGGGAAGGGGGGCTTCCGGGCGTGGTCTCCAGCGCTTCCGGTACGGCCCCTCTAAGGGGCGTGGCTAGCGGGGGCGGCGCTCGGGAGTCCAGGCGGCGCGAAGATGGCGGCGGCTGAGGGGGCTGAGGCTGCTGAGGCGCCGAGCTCGCTGCTGCTGGTGGTGGGCGGCGAGTGCGGCTGCCCGGGGCTGCTGGCCTACGTCCTGGAGGAGCTGGAGCGAGGTGGGGATGCTGGGGGTTGGCGCGGGGTCCGCGCGGGGTGGGTAGGGGCGTGGTCCGGGGCGGTGATTGACAGGGTCGGTTGGGGGTCCCGGCGGGATTCGGGTGGGGGTTCGGCAGCGGTCAGGGCGTGGTCCGTGGGATTCGGATGTGTTCGGCTGTGTGTGGGGTGTCCATGGGGTCCGCGAGGGGTCCCGGGCGGAGATTGACAGAGTCCGGGCGAGGTGGGGGCGGGTTCCGGGACTGTGATTGACAGGATCAGCGGAGGGTCCTGGCTGGGTGGGGGCGGGTTCGAGGTTGTGATTGACAGGGTCGGCGAGGGTCTTGGCGGGGTGGGGGCGGGCTCGAGGTTGTGATTGACAGGCTCGGTACGAGGGGGGGGAGTCCTGGCGCGGTTGGGGCGGGTTCCGGGGTTGTGATTGACAGAGTCGGCGCGGGGTCGTTGGGGACAGGGCGTGGTCCAGATGGGGATTTCATGAAGTCGGTGTGGGGTCCGGCATGGGGATCTGGGCGGGGTCTTGGGGTCCGGGTTTTTCCTCCCCGAGGGGCGCCCCTCTCCTATGGGACCTAGGCCCCGGCCCCACCTCCTGGGATGTGGGACCCCTTTCCCTCCCGTGGGACCCACGCCCCCGCCCCTCTCCTCTCTCGTGGGACCCGCAAATACCCCCGCCTCTCCCCGTCCCCCTTTGGGAACCCCGACCCTTCCCCATCACGTGGGCCCCTCACCCCCTTCCCCATGGGGTCCACGCTGCTCCTGCACCCGCCCCCCGGGATGTGGGCCCTGCCCCCTGCAGCCTCCCCATCCCCAGGCTCAGATCTACACCGCAGCTGCAGCCCCAGGCTCTGCTTTCCTTTCCTTTGGAAGCTTCTAATTGGGGTGTGGGCGGGTGAGGCCGCCTGAGATTTGGCACCTCAGGGGGTGACTCAGAGCTGCACCTGCAGGTTCACCTGTGCCGCCTGGCACGGTGGGGGGAGGGGGGCAGTGCACCTGCGCGATGGGAGAGCACGTACGTCCCGTCGCGCCCCACCCCATCCCCCGCCCGCACGGACGTCACGCTGGGCACAAGGACCCCATCTGGGCCACACTTGTGGGGGCATGGCGTCAGAAGGGCCCCCAAGGAAGCCCAGGACAGCCAGGCTTAGCACCTGCAGGCTGGGGACACAGGAAGGGCCCCTGTGTACAGTGGGAAAGGCAGGTAAAAAGTCCAGAGCGCCCTGCAGCAGGGAGGAGGGAGGGATGGCATCTGCTGACCATGGTGGGGGGCGTTGTGAGATCCTGAGCTGTTGCTGTGCGCTGGGGGCCTGGGGCTGTGGTTGCAGTTGTCCTGGCTGCGAGCCTGAGCCAAAGCAGGTTATGGAGAGGGACTGGGGGTCGCCCCTCACCTGCGGGGTACGTCCTGAAGCTCCCTGGCAGCCGGGGAACCAGGCTGAACTCCTGCCCCCCGCCCGCCCCCACCCAGGTGTGTGCTCTTGGGACGTGGATCCCGGCGTGTGCAGCCTGGATGAACAGCTCAAGGTCTTCGTGTCCCGGCACTCAGCCACGTTCTCCAGCATCGTGAAAGGTGAGACGGGGTCCCCTCTTGGTTCCTCACTGGGGAGGGGTCGCTGTGTGTGCGGCATGGTGGAGGGGCCCGGGCAGTGATGTGAGCACCACACCCTCAACAGCTTGCCTCTTGCAGGAAGTAGGGGTGTGTCCCGTTTCGCAGATGAAACTGCGGTATTGGGGGGCGGGAAAGGGGGACCTCCGAGGAAGGCTTTTGGGATGAGCAGCTGCAGGGGCCCAGCAAAGGCCAGCAGTGGAACAGGACACGTCGGAGTAGTGAGGTGGGGACACTGAGCAGATCTGCGAGCAGGGAGGGTGGGCCCCTTGCAGGCCGGGACTGAGGCCACTTTTCAGCTGTTCCTGTACAGGGTCTGTACACAGTGGGTGCTCAGTACTTGGGGACTCTGGGATGACCCAGGCTGGCACAGCAGCTGCAGGGCGGGGCTTAGGACTTGCCTTCACCCGCTGCTGGCTCACTGAGTCACCTCCTGACCGCTGACCGCTGCAGGAGGGGAAGGAAATGTCCGTGGTCTCATTGTCCCAGCGGGTCCTGGTGGCTTCCTGACTCCTTCTGGGACTGGGGCTGGAAATCCCGTGTGCAGAGTGATTTCTGAGGCACTTCCCCCTCCACCTGAGTTTCCCTGCGTGGGGCACGTGGGGTTGAAGGAGTGCACGGTGACTGTGGAGGGTTGTTGGCATGTGCAGATCAGACCTGGTGCCTGACAGTGTCCGCTTTGGAGACCACTCCTCCCTGTATGCGGTCAGCTCACTGCTCCTGGTGTGAGCTGACCCTTCCTCTGGGTGCACCTTCCTTGTCACCACCCTGGAGGTGATGCTGGCATCTCCCTTGGGTCTGGCTGCAGACCAGCCCAGCCTTTTTTCCAGCTTGCAGGTCCCTTGGGTTTCCCGGTCTCATTCCAACCTGCAGCTGCACCATGTGCCCTCTGACCCCTGGGTGGGTTCCCTGGGGAACTTGGTGGACCCAAAGGTCACACACAGAGGCAGGATGTGACTCTGGACTGGTTGTACCTGAGTGGTGGCATGGGCCCCATTGCTCCTAGGCCAGCGGAGCCTGCACCACCGCGGAGAGACCCTGGAGACTCTGGTCCTCCTGAACCCATCCGACAAGTCCCTGTATGACGAGGTAGGAGGGCATACACCCCGCATCCCACCTGTCTTCCTGCTGCTCAAAGTCCTCCAGATGCCCAGCACCCCCATGGCCCCACCTCAGCTTCTCACCTGTCTGGGGTGCGGGCGGAAAAGGCGGGGGTTTGGGAGAAAGGGGTGGGTCAGCATTGCAGTCCAGCGTGCAGAGCACCGAAGGTCGGTAGGACCTTGGTGGTGTTGTCAAAGTCCCAGTTCTTACCCGAATTGCCTTAGTCTTTCTCCTGGCTGGGCCAGGAAGACAGGAGGGCTTGAGAGAGCCAGAAAGGGCAGGGAGGGCTTCCCAGAGGAGGGGGTGTCATAAGAGGCTTTGCAGGATGAGCAGGAGTTTGCCAGAGCAAGGGTCCTCCAGGACTCTCCCAGCTCTTTGCCTGATGTGGTGGGTGGTGGTGGAAGGGGGTGTTGCATGAAGATGGGGACCAAAAGCCACCCTGAGATGCAGGGCTCTTGCCCTCCCCCAGCTCCGGAACCTTCTGCTGGACCCTGCGTCTCACAAGCTGTTGGTGCTCGCTGGGCCCTGCCTGGAGGACACTGGGGAGCTGCTGCTGCAGACGGGGGGCTTCTCCCCCCACCACTTTCTCCAGGTGCTGGAGGACAGAGAGGTAAGCTGGTGACAGGGTGAGGAATGGAGTAAAGAAAAGCGCAGGCCTTTTTGCAGCTGCTGGGAGGCGGGAGCCGGGGTACCCAGTCTGTTGGTTTGAGGATTAAAGGTGGAGCAATGGCAGAGAGGCCGAGGTGGGGGCCTGGCGGTCAGCTGGTGGGAGAACCACAAGGGCCCTGGACAGGGAGGGACACACGGGGTAGGACTGGACCCTGTGTTGCCTGGTGGCCCCAGGGAAGGCCAGGTTGTGCAAGGTGATGGCGAGCAGCTGAAAACTGCACCTGCCCAGGACGCAGGTTGGGGTGATGCCTGGCTTCACGTCACCTTCCACTGCCCCGTGCAGGTCCAGGACGCCCTGGCCTCGTCCCCAGACGCAGACCTGTCCACCCTGACTGTCACCTGCCCCACCTTCGGGGACTGGCTGCGGCTGGCGCCCGACCTGCCGGGGCTGCGGCTACAGCTACGGCTGAACCCGCCCGCACGGCTGCCCGCGTCCGAGGGCCTGCGCGAGTTCCTGGAGTACCTGGCCGAGTCCCTGGAGCCGCCGTCGCCCTTCGACCTGCTCGAGCCACCGTCCTTCGGGGGCTTCCTGCGACTGGCCGCGCCCTGCTGCTATGTCTTCCCTGGGGGGCTCGGGGACGCCGCCTTCTTCGCGGTCAACGGCTTCACCGTGCTGGTCAACGGCGGCTCCAACCCCAAGTCCAGCTTCTGGAAGTTGGTGCGGCACCTAGACCGCGTGGACGCCGTGCTGGTCACACACGCGGGCGCCGACAGCCTCCCGGGCCTCAACAGCCTGCTGCGCCGCAAGCTGGCGGAGCGCGGGGAGGCGGCGGCCGAGGCGGAGGCCGAGGGGCCCGAGCGCGGGGGCGGCTGGCAGGAGCGTCTTCGGCGCCTGGTGTCCCCCGCGCTAGGCGTCGTGTTCCTCAATGCGCGTGAGGCGGCGTCGCGCTTGGTGCGTGGCCAGGACGAGGCAGCGCTGGCCCTGAGCCTCCTGGCGCAGCTGGGCATCACTCCGCTGGCGCTGAGCCGCGGGCCGCTGCCCGCCAAGCCCACCGTGCTGTTCCGCAAGATGGGCGTGGGCCGCCTGGACCTGTACGTGCTGCACCCGCCTGCTGAGGCGGAGGACCGCGACCGTGACGGCGACGTGGGCTCGCCCGCCTCCGTGTGCGCGCTGCTTGTGTGGCTGCCCGCGGGCCCCGCGGAGAAGGTGGTGCGCGTGCTGTTCCCGGGGTGCACGCCACCCGCACGCCTGTTGGACGGCCTGCTCGGCCTGCAGCACCTGGGCTTTCTGCGCGAGCCCGTGGTCACCCCGCAGGACCTGGAGGCGCCGCGCCGCGCCGACAGTAAGGAGAGCGTGGGCTCCCGCGAAAGCGCCCGCAGAGAGGCCCGGCCGCCCGCGACCGCCAAGCCCGGCCCCGAGCGCCCCACGGCTGCCCGCAAGGACCCAGCCCGGGCCGAAGCCCCACGCAGAGCCGAGAAGGACCCCAGGCCGGCGCGGGAGGTGAAGAAGGACCCCAAGCCGAGCGTCCCCCGCAGCCAGCCCCGGGAGGTGCGCCGTGGCGTCGCTAGTGCGTCCAGTGTGAAGAAGGCGGCCGTTCCCGCGACCACCAAGCCCCGCAGCGCACCTCAGCCCGTGCAGAACGGGCCCCGCAGTACCCCCACCGCCTCCTGCGGCTTCCCTGGTTCGCAGCTGCCCCGCACGCCCGGCGACGGCAGCGGCCCTGGGATGGCCCTAAGCCCCGCTGTGGAGTCGGCGACGCTTGAGCCCGCACCGGCTGCCTGTGCCCCGCAGCCGCGCTCGCCATCACCACCCGAGAGTCGCCGCAGCCCTGAGCGCAGCGGCCGCCTGTCTCTCAGCCCTCTGCGCGGCGGGGAGACCGGGCCCGACGCCTCGCCCACGGTGACCACGCCGACGGCCACCACGCCCTCGCTGCCCGCAGAGGTGGGCTCCCCGCACTCCACCGAGGTGGACGAGTCCCTGTCCGTGTCCTTCGAGCAAGTGCTGCCGCCCGCCGCTGGCGAGGCCGGGCTGAGCCTCCCCTTGCGCGGGCCCCGGGCGCGCCGTTCCACGTCTCCGCACGACGTGGACCTGTGCCTCGTGTCGCCCTGCGAGTTCGAGCACCGCAAGGCTCTGCCCGCCGCGCCCGCACCCGCGTCCCCCGGCAGCTCCGACAGCAGCGCGCGCTCCCAGGAGCGGATGGGCGCGCCGGGCCCCGAGGAGACGCCGCCCACGTCGGTCAGTGAGTCTCTGCCCACCCTGTCGGACTCCGACCCGCCACCCACTGGCCCCGGGGCGGCTGACTCAGACGAGGACACCGAGGGCTTGGTGGGCCCCGGCCGAGACCCGCTGCCCGAGCCCCTGCACGTGCCCCCGCCGCTGACTGGGCCGCCCAGCACCTGCATGGTGGACCCCGAGACCGTCCCCAAGGCGGCCCGGCAGACGGAGAACCCTGGCCGCACCCGCAGGCCCCTCGTCCGACCCAGCTCCGCAGGGGCCGCACACAAGGCCGTGCCCACAGCCGCGACCAGAGCCAAGGCGCTGCCCACAGGTGACCGCGCCAGCCGGCCGCTCAGCGCCCGAAGCGAGCCCGCAGACAAGGGCGGCCGCGCGCCCCTGACCAGGAAGCCCTCGGTCCCCAAGACTGCCACGCGAGGCCAGTCCGGTGAGTACCGGGGCTGGAGCCCCCCGCGGCCCTGTCCTGTCCCTCACTGTGTGTCCTCAGCCCACACTTCTCTAGGACCCGGGCCACCTCTGAGGGGACCGTGTGAGTCCTGTGACAGCACACAGGTGAGGTCACTGTAAGGACTTTCCTGCCTCCAGGGCTCAGCTGTGCCGGTGACAGGTACTTGGGTCCCTGCAGGGCCTGTGGCGCTGTCCCCTCCTGATGCCCTGAGGACCCAGGGTCGCGGTTGTCAGCTCCGTGTCCCGTGCAGGTGGCACAGGGGTCCCGCGCCTCCGCGCGTGGGTGTAGTTCAGTTTTGTGTCTCCACTGGGATTTGAACTCACGGCCTGGCAGTGCTGGGCAGTCGGCACCGGCCCGCGGCTCATGAGCCCCACACTGGCCAGGCCTTGGCTGGGCCCAGCAAAGCAAACGAGGCCACAAGGTGAGGCCGGGAGGAAAGCAGTCAGCAGTTCCAGAACCTTCTCCCGTGGCGACCCCACCCTGTGCTAACACCGCGGGAGCCACGCGCCTGTCACGGAAGCCCATAGAGGTCACCCGGGTCCGTCCCCACAGGTTCCTGGCCGGACACAGGCGGTCAGCAGCCTCTTGTGCCCAGCCCAGAGCGCCCTTGAGCTAGGGGACGGGAACCCTCAAGTCAGAGTTCACAGACACGCAAGGGAGTCTTTGGTCTGCCATGATGCTTTCACTGGGTTTTTCAAAGTTGCGGCACAATTTGCCATCTTAACTTCTGATGCCCCGTTCAGCTGTGCCCAGTGCGTTAATAGTGCACCCATCGCCGCCATCCACAGACCCCGTCCCAGAAGTAAAGCCCTGCACCCTACACACACCCTCTCCTCCCCCAGACTGCCAGCTCTGTCTGTGAATGTCACACAGCGTGTCACTGCTTATAGCTCACTCAGGAGAGCGTCTTCCAGGTCATCCTTGTTGTAGCCCTGTGAGAATTTCCTTTTCACGGCTGAATAGTATTCCCTGGTGTGCACAAGCCACGTTGGCTTTATCCACTCCCTGGTGCGCACCGTGAGGCCGGCCGGCCTGCGTCCACACACTGCCGAATTTAACACCCACGAAGCGCACAGCGCTCCGCTTTCTCCACATCCTCCGGCACTTGCTGCTGGCCTCGTTTTCGGCAGTTGGAGGCCGTCCCGCGGTGTGGGTGGTGCTGTGCTGCCATGTTGGGCCTTCTGTAATAGGGCCGTGGTCCATGTGTGGCGTCCCCCACAGGCTCTGTGCTGATGCCTGGTGCCCAGCAGGTGGCACTGCTTTGGGAGGTTGTGGAACTTGAGGTGGCACCTGCTGTTGTCGTATTGTCACCAGGGTGTCTGGTCCCTGCTCCCTTCCTGCCTCTGCTTCCTGGGCACCGCGATTGGGGCCTCCTCCGCTCTCCACGATGGAGGCTGCTGAACCCGAGTACGCCACCGTCTCTCGCGTGCTCGTGCCTAGCGCAGTCACGGCGCCGGACGCTGCCATCCGCAGGGGCCGTGTCTCCTCTGCTTCTTCCTGAACTCCAGGCCTCGCGCTTGCCAGGCAGGCGGCCACCGCTGGAGCCACCGCTGGAGCTTCAGGGGTTTCCAGCTGCTCTTCAGCCTGCCTGCCCGGCGGCCTGACTTTCCCGCCTGCAGCCCGGATTACAGCTGTGCCCTTGCTCCCCAGGGTCTCGCTCGCTCCTGCCCAGGCTGGCGGCACAGCCATGAGCCGTTCGCCCACCCCGTCCACCCGTTTCCCGTGGTTTCCTTTCCGAGTTGAGCGTTAGGGATTAACGAGGTGCGTGCCGGTCCCGTCAGGTGGATCGTGTCCATCTCCTCCCTCTCCCAGGCACCCTTGGGTGGATGTCCATGAGGCCGGTCTGTCCGTGAGAAATCCTTGCAAAGCTTTTGTTCCCACGGGTTTTCAGTCTTGGCTGTCACGCGTGGGCCCTGGTCCTCTTGGAGGGGAACGGGGCCGTGGGCGTCCCGGGGTGGAGGTCGAGGTTCCCTGAGACTCGGGTGGGGCCCGGCTGCCCGGGTTCTCCATGGAGGCTTCACGTCCGTGTGTCTGAGGGTCTGTCGGGGTTTGGTGGCTCCGGGGTGCCTTCGCCGCCCAGCAGTGCAGGTCAGCGCGGCAGCCATCTTCCTCCTTTGCGGCCTTGGTTTCTTTGCTTTCTGACCTGCGGGCTTTGAACTCGCCATCCACGGCCTCAGCCTATGGGAGCGGGGTCCCAGAGGAGGCCCCCGCCGGCTCCAGCTGCATTTTTGAGGCCGGCATGGCCTCCGCTGGCCCCGCAGGCTGGTGGTTGCGGCCAGCGAGGGTCCCCGTGTCCCTGCCTGGCCATGTGGGCTTCAGGCCCAGCCCAGCTCCACTCCTGCCTGGGGTGGCTCAGGTGCTCGACGGCCATGAGTGGCCGTGGCTGATCGGGAGCCGCCTGAGAGCAGCTGGTGACAACACGATAGCCGGAGTGACCCGGTGTCCATCAAGGGACGCGGGTGAGGGGACAGCGTCCTCGCCGCCAGCTGTCTGTGAAGGGGTGTGGGGCTTGCACAGGACCTGCACGAGGCCCCGAGTTCAGGTGACCTGTGCGTCCTAAAACACCTGTGTCGTGTGCGCTGTGAGGGACGCTGACGTGATGGTTATGCGATGGTGACGTCACGCCGACAGTGACGTGACGCAAGCTCTGCACGCTGGACGCACACAGGCTCACTGAGCGCTGGCTCTGGGCTGGGCCCTTCAGGTGCCCAGGTGTCCTTGTTCTCTGGAGGCGACAGGCTACCTGCCCTGTCCTCCAGGGTCCGTCCTCTATCCTGTGCCCCTTGCCACCTAAGCCACCATGCCTGCGGTGCAGTTTCCAGTGGGACCCGTGGGTCCTGAGGGGGTCAGGGGTGACGTGGGAGGTCAGGACTTCAGGGCCTGCGGTCATGAGTGGGCAGGACGTGGGGCACTTCTGCGTCCCGTCCCCCTTCCCCCGTGAGCCCGTCAGTCACGTGGTGCGGTGGCAAAGGCTGTGGCAGGGACAGATGGGACGGGAGCGTGCGGAGGGCACAGTCTGGAGGGTCCGGGGCACTGGCCTCCCCGGAGCCCCGGTCACTGGGCTGCGTCCCCGCAGGAGGCAGCGTCCGGCCCGGCCCGCCCGGCGCCCCCGTCTACCTGGACCTGGCCTACCTGCCCGGGGGCCGCAGCGCGCGCCAGGTGGACGAGGAGTTCTTCCGCCGCGTGCGCGCGCTCTGCTACGTCATCAGCGGCCAGGGCCAGCGGCGCGAGGAGGGGCTGCGGCCCGTGCTGGACGCCCTGCTGGCCGGCAAGCAGCGCTGGGACCGCGACCTGCAGGTGTGTGCGGGGCGGGGCTGGAGATGAGGGGCGGGGCTGGAGATGAGGGGCGGGGCGTGGGAGGGGGCGGGGCTGAGATGGAGGGGAGGGCGGGGCTGAGATGGAGAGGGGCGGGGAGCGGAGGGCCTGGGCGTGCAGTGCTTGGGAGGCCTCAGCAGTGCTGCGCAGCCCGGGGTTCATGGACGGTGCAGGCTGCTCTTGGACGTCAGCGCAGAAGCCGAGACAGGAGCGCACCGCCATCACTCCCGCTGTCCCCGCAGGTGACGCTCATCCCCACCTTCGACTCGGCCGCCATGCACCGCTGGTACGAGGACACGCACGCGCGGCACCAGGCGCTGGGCATCACCGTGCTGGGCAGCAACAGCATGGTGTCCATGCAGGACGAGGCGTTCCCCGCCTGCAAGGTGGAGTTCTAGCGAGGCACTGCTGCACGGGAATAAACCCGCACCCACCCGCCTCGTCCTCTCCTTCCTGTGCGACACCGGCTCCGGCCCCGGGGTTCCCTAAACAGAAAGGGCACACAAGGGGTGGGGCCCCCGAGCCTGCAGACCCCGATCTCAGGCCCCACAGGGGATGCGCAGCCCTGAACGTGGCCCTAAGCCCTGCAAGCTGCCCTCCCTGGGGTTGGTGCCACCCAGGCTCGTTTGCCCAGGTCTCCATGGGTAGGTGGCATGGCCAGAGCACGAGCCGGGTACATGGACAACAGGAGAGCTGACAGCCACACCCTTCGTACCCCCTCACCCAACACCCTAAAAGGAGCCGAGTCCTGCGGGGACCCCGTCACCCGCCTTCTGGGCTTCTAAGGGTCGCAGCACCTCTGAGCAGTGGGCACACAGCCCGTCTGTCCCTCCTGCAGCTGCTTCTCTGCCACGTCACTGTCGGGCTCGGAGGTCACAGCACCTCAGCTTTTCTTTCCCCAGTTCCCGAGGCTGGAAGTCCTCTGTGGCTGGGGACCCGCAAAGGACCCATGTCTGGGCCCCAAGAGGGAGCTCGTCACTCACATCTTCATGGGGATGCTGAGTGTAAGCAGCCAAGGACAGGCGGTCACCAAAGACAGACGGGCATCAGGAGCACAGGACAAACCCACGGGGACGGAAGGACCAAGCAGTGCCAAAGAACCTGGTGGCCCTCAGCCTCCCTCTCTGCCTAGGGAACACAGGAGGGACCCCCATGGGGCTGGGGACAGATGCTGCCCAACAGAAAGCAAGGGACAGGGGTCTTGGGAGGCCAGGGGGTGGGGGGACCCAGCCTGGGGAAGGTGACACAGACTGCCAGGCTGGCCAGTCCCTGTCACCTGTCTGGAAACCGATTCTGCCCCACTGTAGTCAGGTGAGGACGGGCCCAGCTCCCAGGGGGAGGAAACCGGGTATGGAGGGTGCCCCTGTAAGGCCTGGAACATGGAGGGTGAGGCAGGAGGATTGTGAATCAGAGGCCAGCCTGGCCTACCCACAGCCCCCCTCAAAAATAATAAGATCTGAGGAAAATGAAAAGGTAGTGACTGCATCCAGTTACTAGACAGGGCTGGGCATGGTGGTGCAGCCTGTAATCCCAGCCCTGGGAAGTGGAGGCAGGAGGAGCCCCAAGCCAGGCCAGCCTGGGCTGCACAGCGAGCCCCGAGTCAGGAGGGAAAATGAAAACGTGAGCTGGATGTGGCCAGTGTGCGCAGCGGCCACCAAGGTCCAGGGTGGCTTGTGTCCCCTTCACAGGAAGGGGACACATTCATTGGCCGCAATGCTGGGTGTCCTCAGGAATGCTACTGACCCCTCTGGGCTGCACATCCCTCCAGTCCTACAAGAAAGACAGGTGTCCTGCCTCCCACAGGTCCAGGCTGGGTCTCAGCCTCCACATGGGCCTCCATTCCCTTCCCCAGCTCGCCCAGTCCCACCCCACACAGGGTCCCATTCCTGCGGTCAGCCCTGGGCTGGGTGAAAGGAGCCTGGCTGACCACACAGGAACTGACCACACAAGATCTAAGGTGGGGAGGCCACCCTTCTGGAGTGGACCTGGGGCTGGGCCGTGGCTCCATGGACAGTGCCTTTCAGCAGACTCTGGGTCACATCCCAAGGTCACAGCAAAGACAAAGGTGCTGGGGTGGGGTGCACTGAGGATGTGGCTGCAGGGAGGACCTGGGGTCCCCACTGAAGGTCTCGGTGTCAGAATTGGAGTCACTCATCTCTGTGAGATGCCCGCCTGCCAGCCCTGGACTGATTTCCGATGATAATCCTCCATTACAGGAATATACCACCACACCCGGCTTGATGATTGAGATGGGGTCTCAAATAAGTTTTTTTTTGTTTTGTTTTGTTCTGTTTTTTTGGTCCAGGCTAGTCTTGAACTGTGATCTCTCCCTCCCGAGTAGCTGCCTGGAAGTGCGGGGCAGGGAGCAAGTTAGGGAGATTTAAAGAAGCCAGGTTTCCAGAGTCTAGATGGGGGAAAGAGTAGTGTTTCAGGGACTGTGTTTCTGGGCTGCCCCTTCCTGAGTTGGGGTGACCGGGGACCCCCCAGGTTTTCTGTCCCCGTTCGAAGAGGAATGTGAACCCGTGAGCCTTGCATAAGGGGAGAGAATGGGAGTCTCTCAAAATTGTCATATGGGATCGGGCGTGGTGGCTCACGCCTGTAATCCCAGCTACTTGGGAGGCTGAGATCAGGAGGATCACGTTTCGAGGCCAGGGCAGGCAAACGGTTCTCAAGATCCCGTCTCTGAAATAACCAGAGCAAAACGGACTGGAGGTGCGGCTCAAGAGAGAGCCCCGACTTTGCAAACTGGAAGCCCTGACTTCAAATCCTCCCTGTCACACCCCACCCCACCATAAAAACATTAGTGGCAGAGCCTCTGTCCAGCATGGCAGCCCTGGTCCCATCTTTAGGACAGGTGTGGCATGACGGCACAGATCCCACCCTCAGCCTTGTAGGGGACAAAAAAGGAGCGTTGCTCAGTGCCTGGCACACAGTGGGCGCTCACTAAATGCTGCTTTCCCTTTCCCCTTCCTCCTCCCCGTGAGGTCTCAGATGGACGATGCGGTGCCTGTCTCTTTAAAATATGCAAACGCACTGCGGGTGGCGGTGATAGTGTAGAGAGGCCGGTTTAAAAAAAAAAAAAAAAAAAAAAAAAAAACGCTGGTCGCCTGGTCGCCATCTCAGCCAATCAGCGCGCTGGCTTGCAAAGCCACTCACCTGAATGGACCAATGACGTGCCTCGCCGATTACAGAGCCCGCCCCTGCCTTGCGGGTGTCGTCACTGGGGAAGGGGCGTGGTTTCTAGCGAGCCACGCCCATCGGTGGGCGGAGCCGGCCGCGGCCGCGCCGCAGCGGTGGAGAGAGGGCGGGCGGGGCGCGCGGTGTCGCGGGCGGGCGGCAGGTGGCGGCGCGCGGGGCTCGGAGGTGAGTCCGTCTGTCCTGCGTGGGGGACCCGGGTGTCCGTGTCCTGCGGCCCCGCGGCGGGCGGGAGGGTGTGTGTAATAATGGTGGTGGGGGGGGCGACACGGGCTGGGGCGTGCGGGGCGGGGGGAGCCTCCTGGGGACATCGGGGTTCACAGTGGACATGGGGACCCCGACGTGTGTCCTAATCCTAAACGCGCGTCCCCTGCCCCAGGCCCCTTCCCCAAATCCCTTTATTCTCAGCCTCCATCATTGGCTGCAAAGATGGGGTGCGGCTTCCCCCCCTCCACAACCTGCAATCGTGGGGTGCCTCCCCTCCCCCCATGGTGTCCCCCTTCTCAAACTCGGCCACCCCGACAGACTGTCCCCTGCCCCCCCCGATTGTCCTCAGTACCCCGTCCCAGCCGCAGCAGGGTGGGGTCCTCCCTTGTCACCTGCAAGGACCCCCAAGACTGGAATTTGGGGGTGGTGTGGGGGTGGGGTGGCCCATGTGGGGGACCCCCCTCTCTGTATGTGGGGGGGGCCGCCACAGCTGTTCCCAACAGATGAAAATAAATGGAGGTAAATTTGTCTGTGGCCGGGGGTGGTGGCTGCAAGTGGGGTGCACTGGGAATTAGGGGCACCCTCTGTCTGGATACCCTAAGTGAGGGTCCCCCCAATATCAAGACCGAGAAAGGAGCAGACTGGGACCATCCTGCTTCATCCGGGACCTTGGGGGCAGGTGACGGCAAGGCCCTCAGCCTCAGTTTCCCCTCTTTTGAGACCTAAAGTTGGGGGACCCTGGACTCCACACCTATGAGCCCCCATCTTTGGCTAGATTATTATTTTTGCATATTATGGGGGTGTCACAAGGACAGTGAGCTAGGTGACTCTGCGCCCCCCCACACATCCTGCAACTCCCAGCTTTTGCCTGTGACCCCAAATTACTGAGCTGGGAAATGGGTTCATGGTGACACTCAGCCAAAGTGTCACCAGGGTTCCACCGCCCTGGTCTCACCAGCAGGGCCAGCCAGGTCCACGCCCTGACCCACATACCATCACCCACGCATACCATCGTCCCCTGGGTGGGGACGTCCCCCCGCTGTCCCCCCTCGCCCTGGCAGGTGCAGGTGGGAGGTGACAGGTCAGCCTGTCCCTTTGTCCCTGCAGCCAGCTTAGCCAAGTGAGCAGCAGACACCAGATGGGGGAGTCTGACGCCCCCAGGTTGGAGTCGGCGTCCTCCCGGGTGGCTGTGTCCCCAGTGAAATGGGCTGAGCCCTCCGGGAAGATGTGGGGAGGCCGTGGGAGGCGGGCAGCCAGGGGGACGCGGACATTCGGGTTCTGATGTTAATTATAACATTGGAGCTCGTAAACGTGTCACAGCCGACCAGGAAGGGGAAGGACTGGGCCGGCTCCTGACAAAGCCAGGTATACAGTCAGCACTCAATAGTTGCAGCCCCCAAAGAAGCGATGAAGGCAGACAGATGAAGTCACGAAGGAGCAGCGGGGAGGGTGGACCATCCCCGAGCCGAGTGACCCCGGGCACGTCACGTGACTCAGGTTCCCCACCGGGGAGGTGACAGACAGGGTCAGGAGGTGCCGTGGGTATAGTCTGTGATCACCGCGCTGGTGACTGGGCCCAAAGAGGGGGGACATGGCAGAGCTGGTCATTGAAATAGTGGGTGACACCCGGGGGCCAAGCCGCTGGTTACTGGGAACAAAGAGAAAACCCTCAAATGCGTCCTCGATGCACAAACAGCAGTGAGGACACGGGGTCAGGTCCTGATCACAGGATCCTGGCTGCCCAGAGGGGTCACGGGTGGCCCAAGGTCACCCAGCAAGAGTTCTGGGGCTCTGGCCCCCCCGGCCAGTGTCCTCCAATCCCGGGGTGCCCTGTCTGCCTTGCCAGTTCGGTTCCCATCCGGTCCATCTGCTCCTCAGCCCCAGTTTTTTGGGAACAGGTGCTGGGGTGACAGGAGGGACACAGCTGAGCCTGGGGCAAGTGTCCGGCGGTCTCTGGGCTGGCAGGGGGACCTGGCTGGCAGTCAGGTCACCGTTGTTTTCGAGGCCCGTGGTGCTGTTTTCAGTTCTTCTCCGATGGAAGGAGCAAACACAGAGCGTTTGGGGGCAGAAAGGAAGGTTTCGCTATTACTGTGACCGCGTCCTCTCAGTGGCAGTGCAGTTGTCAGATGTCACTCTGAATTTCCTATGGAGGAAAGGGCTCCCCAGGGCAGCCATGCTGGGTGAACCTCAGTTTCCCCGCCGAGGCACGGGCAGCTGTGTCGACGCGCCGGCGATGGCGCCATGTGGAACGCTGGGTCCCGGTTGTGCTAGGCGGGGGCCGTGTCACTGACCGCCGGTGACCTGAGCTCCTGTGTGTGCTGATAACGTCCCCCAGGCCCCAGAGAGGACCAGGGCGTGGTGGGCGGAGAGGCGAGGTGACGGTTGGTGGCAGGCGGGCGGGCGGGGAGAACTTCCTGTCCCCTCGCAAGCACACACACGGCTTGGTGGTGACGGAAGTGGCAGGGGCCCGTGGCCATCTCTTGCAGGGCCCCAGATCCCAGACCTACACAGTGCCCATAGGTGAGTGTGAACCCCGGCCAGGGCACCTGAAGGCCCCTCCGGGTCCCCTCAGAGCAGAAGGGGACCCTTGGCCAAGCAGGTGTCACTTCCTGGGCTGGGCCTGGCCTGTGTGACATCCTTGGCTTCGAGAGAGAGGTAGGGGGACGGGGAAGGGGACCTGGAGACCAAGGACCACACATGGTGGTGGCTGTGACCAGGAGGTCGAGGTCAGCCGGGCCAGGGCCACAGTCGTCCCCCGAGGCTGGGAGGGGTGTGACACCTTCGTGCCTCTGTTTCCTCATCTGTAAAGCGGCCCGTGAGGCTGTGGTGGGGGGGACGCAGCTGTGTCAGTGGTCGGCACGCACAGCGTGGACACCTGGCTTTCAGGGGAGGGCAGGCTGGCGGTCCCGGGGGTGTCGTGGAGCCACACGTCTGGTGAAAGAGAGTCACCTGGCGTGTGGGGTCCCCGTGTGTCGTTCAGCACGGCTCTGAGGGGTCTGTGGACATCTGTGACCCAGGTCAGAATGAGAACTCGGGGCTTTCAGCCTGGTGTCCCCCCAAACTAGGCTTCCTAGGGGTGGGGCTACACTGGGAGATCAAAGTTTCTCCACCACCCCAGCATTGCCTGGTATAGGTCGCTGGTTGGCTGCATTTGTTGAAACGAATAGTTTCTTGGTGAACTCCTATTCATCCTTGAAAACCCCAATCCTCATGTCCCCTGCATAGGTCTGGGCCTTCCCGGCTTTTGAACCTCTGTCTATCTGGCCTGTCTTTGACCACAGATGGGCATCTCTCTGTGTCCAGTCCTGACAAGTTAAGCAAGCTTTTAAGAGGAAGAAAACTGAGGCTCACACAGAGGTAGCCCAGCCCAAGGCGCTTTTCAGTCCTTTCCTGGTTGGGGCCCAGAGAGCACCCCCATCCTGTCACCAGTCCCCTGCTGCCACCGCATCTGCCAGGCTCCCAGCTGCTGTCTGAGGTCATACGTTATGCATGAGGCCCGCAGCTCGAGTGACAGACTGGGCCTCCTGATTCTGTCATGGACACCCATGTCCTCCCCCGCCGGGCAGCCTGGCCCGAGCCCCTCTGCAGCCCTGGAGTCCCCAAGCGAGACTTTTTCTGGGCATTCTGCCCATGTGTTTTGCAGATGGGGAAACTGAGGTGCGGAGCTGGACAGTGACTCAGACGCCAGGTGGACGTGGCTCCTGTGGCCACTGACACAGCCGGGTGCTGACATCTGGGTGCGCAGGGCACTCTGCACCCTGGGAGGCGCCTGTGGAGGGGCTTGGAAGATCCAGGGAGATTCCAGGGACACAGCAGGGACCCCGACCTCCCCCGACTGGTCCAGCCCCAGATCCTCTGCCCACGGGAGCCGTCTGCCGTGGGGCTGAGCATTCAGGTCTGGCTCAACTGATCCAGGGAGCAAGGTGTGACCTTGGCAAGTAGGTGTCCTTCAAAGGACAGTCCAAATATGAAATGACCCAGACCTTCTCTACCTACCACAGGGCTCGTTTTCACCCCTCCTGTCCTTGCCATAAACTCCTATACGTGCTTTAAAACCCCACCTGTCATATCCCCTCCACCAAGCCCTTGTCCCTCCATGTACTCCAGCCATGACCCCATGGGACAGGGGCATGTGTGTCCAGTGTGTCCCCTGAGATGAGGGCTGCAGGATCAGGGCTGACTCATCTCAGGGCCCTAGCAGGCTATGAGCCCTGGAGGTTTTCAGTTCCTCATTCCTCCCCAGTCTCTGAGCTCCATGGGTAGGACAATAGGAATTTCCCTCACCAGACCCTATTAGGTTAAACTCAGTGACTCACACATGTCTCTTTCTTTAGACAGACACTGGACAGACAGACACCTGCTGAGGTCTTCACAGACGCCATTAGGATGTCATATTTTGGGGAGCATTTTTGGGTAAGACCGATTCAAATTTTGTTTTTCTTTTTTTTTTTTCCTTTATCTTTACCTATTCTTATTTTTATGTGGCATTCCTGGCAGGGCTGTAGAGACTTTATTGGAGAGTTTGGCACCAGGCATTCTGTGGGCAGGTGGAGGGGTAGAAATTAGAGTGGAAAGAGACACATGGGGAAGAATTCACACACTTGAACCTCACAGTTCTTATGACCTCAGGCAGGTAACTCACACCTTGCACCTCTGGAAAACTGAGGCCCACAGTAGAAAACAGTGGCCTGAAACTAGCACAGGGGAAAATGAAGACTAAGTAAACAGGGCCACACAGTTTCCAGGATCCACGGTCATCCCAGCCAGGGTATTTCCAAGTCCTTCCCACCATGGAGAGTTTGGGGTTTTCTTCACTTGACCCCCATTGGCACGCAAGAGATCAATCACCATCTGGGACCCAAAGAAGGGACTGAATGAGCCAAAAGTGTTCCATCCAGCTACCCATCCACCCACCCACCCATCCACCCTTCCACCCACCCACCCATCCACCCTTCCATCCACCCACCCATCCACCCTTCCATCCACCCACCCACCCATCCACCCATCCACCCATCCATCCATCTATCCATCCACCCATCCATCCACCCATCCACCCTTCCACCCACCCACCCATCCACCCTTCCACCCACCCACCCACCCACCCATCCATCCACCCACCCATCCATCCATCCACCCATCCACCCATCCATCCACCCATCCATCCACCCATCCATCACCCATCCACCCTTCCACCCACCCACCATCCACCCTTCCATCCACCCACCATCCATCCACCCATCCACCCTTCCACCACCACCCATCCACCCTTCCACCCACCCATCCACCCATCCATCCACCCACCCATCACCCATCCACCCACCATCCACATCCATCCATCCACCCATCATCCACCCATCCATTCCCCATCCACCCTTCCACCCACCACCCCATCCATCCCCACCATCCATCCATCCATCCACCCATCTCCACCCATCCACCAACCATCCATCCACCCATCCATCCCCACCATCCCTCATCCACCCATCCACCATCCATCCACCATCCATCCACCCATCCACCCATCCCCATCCACCCATATCCACCTCCACCCATCCATCCATCCATCCATCCACCCATCCACCATCCATCCATCCATCCCATCCTCCACCTCCACCCATCCATCCATCCACCATCCATCCACCCATCCATCCATCCATCCACCCATCCATCCATCATCCACCCATCCATCCATCCATCCATCCACCATCCTCCATCATCATCCACCCCATCCACCTCCACCATCCATCCACCATCCACCCATCCACCCATCCATCCCCATCCACATCCACCCATCCATCCACCCATCCCCATCCATCCACCATCCACCATCCACCCATCCATCACCCATCCATCCATCCATCCACCCATCACCATCCATCCACCCATCCACCCATCCATCCACCATCACCCATCCATCCATCCATCCATCCCATCCATCCACCCATCCACCCATCATCCATCCATCATCCATCCACCCATCCATCCATCCATCCCCCATCCATCCACACCCATCCATCACCCATCCATCCATCATCCACCCATCCATCCCATCCATCCATCCATCCATCCATCCACCCATCCATCCATCCCCATCCACCCATCCACCTCCATCCACCCATCCATCCATCCATCCATCCATCCACCATCCACCTCCACCCATCCACCATCCATCATCCATCCATCACCATCACCCATCCATCCACCCATCCATCCACCCATCCATCCATCCATCCATCCACCCATCCATCCATCCATCCATCCATCACTCCTTCATCCACTCATTCCCTTCCTCCCTTTGACCCTGTGACCCCACGCGTGTCTGTGACTCTGGGAGCTGGGGCCCGGGGAGGCTCCATCTGGGCCTGGTCGGGGCCGGGGCGGGGCGTGTCGCAGAGCCATCCAGACTCACCCTGAGGGTTAGGGCGCCCCCTTATAGCAGCTGACACCCAATGGAGGAAGTGGGAAAGGTGTTCCAAGCTTGAGTGGAAGCACGGACGTTAGATGAGGACTCTGGGTGCAAGGACAGAGTCATGGGGAGCCTCGGAGGAAGTGGGAACAGGAGCTGCCCCAGGATCAGGGAAGAAGTGGGGCAAAAGCCCCTTCCTCATCTGCAGCCCCTGAGCTGGAAAGAGGAAACCCGTTGCTAGGCAACCGGTTGCCCCTGGCAACAGCCTGCCTCCCTCCCCAGCTGGAGCTCCTCTTACTGGCTCTTGCTGTCTTAAAGGGACCGCACCCCCTTGCCCTTGCAGGTGTCTGACCTCTAGACTCTCCTCCAGGGTCAGACTGCCCAGCTTGACCTCTAAATGGCCATGTGACACCCCCACCGAGGGACTGTCGCTATCTGAGTCCCTGTCAGCACCTCTGTGTAAGTGGAGGGCGGACCGCTGCAGGATCCCATGTCACCCACATTTTGGAGCCCTGACGGCAGCACGTACACTTATTTTAAGGTGCATAAGCGCGCGGAGGAGAAGTCAGACGCGGGAAGAGAAAATAGAAACCTCCCCCGACTCTCCCACCCCATCAAAGGTGGCCGGCTGGGCCCTGAGTGACAGAGAGCTGGGAGCTGAGGACAGGGATCCCGCTCTTCAGGGAGGCCCTGGGCAGGTGTCTCTGCATCCCTGGGCCTCCATTTCCCTATTCGCTTTCCTGGGACTCGGGCAAGGTCCACGGACACCTGTCCATGTCAGAGACATGGCCTGGCGCTTTCCTGAGCAATGTCGGGGGGGCTCTGAGGCTCCTTTGGGGCCATCCAGCCAGACAGGGATACCCCAGTCCCCAGGCTTACAGCAGAGGGCCCTGGGGGAAGTGTGAGCAGGGGAGGGTCACTCCCGAGCCGTGGTAGGACATCCCACTGTAGCTGTCATTGGGGTCACAGTGGGGGCCAGAGGCAATGGTGTGGGGGGACCCACTCCCAGGACAACTCCTCCTGGGACCCTCGGCTGCCAGCCCTGTCCAAGGGAGGCAGACACTGCTAGGGGGTTGTTGCCAGGACCGGGAACCGGGCCAGGACTTGGCTCCGAGTCAGCCCAAGAGGCCAGCCTGGGTGGCGGTGCCTGGCACGGCCTCGTCCGAGGATCCCCCGGGGTGGCAGGTGGACGCTGAGGAGCCGCTCGGTCCTCCCTAGAGACCCTGTGTCCAGCGCTGTCCTGGACACATCTCACCCAGACCCTCGGGCATTGGGAACTGTCATCGTCCCCAGTGGAAAGTTAGGGCCAGAGAGGAGAAGTAACCAACCCGATGTGACCCAGCACACCAGGGACATTTGACCCTTGGCCTGGGCGGTCTAAGCCTGGATGGGGAAGAGGGGAGATGTCCTCCTGAGAGACCAGGGGTCCTCGGCGAGTGGACAGGGTGGCGGGTTTGGGGAAGGTCCCCAGAGGAGGTGGCTGGGACACGAGTGGGAAGGAGATGTCAGCAGTTCCATGCTAAGTGTTTTTGGGGTTCCAGGCCGTCAGAACCCAGCGACACACGCCCTGTTCAGGACAGGGTCTGGCTGACATTGACGCCAAGGTGTCCTGCTTTCCCATTTTAATGTAGCAATAAAGTTCCCCTTTGACATCAATGTTTGCAGTGTGCGCATGCAAAAAGGAAATATTAATGAATAGTGCAAATTAGCAAACATTAGCATTGCCTTTTGGGGACCCTGAGTACATCAACCCAGTACTCACTGCATCCTCATGAAAGATCATGGACCCCCTTTTTTTCTTTGGTGACACTGGGGTTTGAACCCAGGGCCCCTCGCTTGCTAGGCAGGCACTCCACCACTCGATTCTGCCCCATGTTAGCAAGGTTCAGGGAGGGATAGCGACTTGCCCAGGTCACACAGCACAGTCCTCGCCTCCTTCCACTAAAATCTGTCAACACCTAATTCCTCAGCTACGGAAAGACAAAAAAAGAAGAAAAATAAATCAAAGGGGACGAGATTGCTTGAGACAGAGGCGAACAGACAGAAAGACAGAGACAGCCACACAAAGAGCAAATAAGATTTTTCTCCATCCATCAGGGAACAAAAATCCCAGGCTTCTCTCTGATTGGACGCATTTACGTTCAACGAACCAATCCCTGTGAAATGGGGAGGATGCTGCATGCTGATTGGCTCAGGCCTGAACCAATCACTACAGCCTAGGAATGGCCTTCTCCTGGTTGGCTCCTTGCCAGCGGTTGTTGCTAGGCAACAACCTTTGCGCCCTGCTCAGTCTCCACGCCATTCCCTGCAGGGTGAGAAAAACCATGGCTTTGAGGTCCTGTACCAGGGCGTGAAGCAGGGGCCCATCTCCACCAAGGAGCTGGCCGACTTCATCCGGGAGAGGTGAGGCCCCAAGCCCTGCCCACCACGCGCCCCACCCATCACAGGCCGTACCCACCAGCCTGAAGCCCCGCCCTCATAGCCCCACTCACTGCACAATCCCGACCACAAACCTTCAGTCCCGCCCACCTCTGATCATTAGCCCAATCCCCACCCACCCTGAAGCCCCACCCACCCTGAAGCCCCACCCTCACAAAGTGGCTCCACCCACCTCGATAGCTACTTCCCCAAGTCCCACCCAGCACAAGGACCCACCCACAAGCCTGATGCCCTGTCCTCCTCCTAGCCCCACCCACAGTCTTGTCTCACCCACAGACCTTTGGCCCCGCCCACTAAGCGGCCATTGGTCCACGTCCCACCCACCCTGCAGCCCCATCCACACACCTGCAGCCCCGCCCTCGTCGAGGCCCCACCCACCTCTGTGGGCATGGGTCCTAGCCCCACCCACCTGCTGCTCTGCCCACACCGGAAGTCCCGCCTTCCACGAGGCCCCGCCCACACCTGTAATCATGGGTCCAGGCCCCACCCAGCCAGTAACTCCGCCCACACCGGAAGTCCCGCCCTCCCCGAGGCTCCGCCCTCTCCTCTGGTCTTGCACCTGTACCGGCTCCCACCTGGTGACCCAATCCAGCTCCCCCCAGGCTGCAGGAACCACAGGAGCTTGGAGACCCTAAAACCTGCGGCTCTGAATCCTGTCGCCCTCTACTGCCTCTTCAGCAGTTGTCACCTGGGTTCTGCAAAATCAGATTACCTGGGCACTGGGGGATTCCAACTCCATCCGGTTCCCCATGGAGCAGGCGCGGTGTGCCCACCCTGACCCCGCAAAACACCCCGCGTTTAGAGCTACGGCTTAGATGAGTGACCTGGGGAAACTGAGCCCCAGCCCGGAGCCTCTCCCTCGGTGCCCAGCTCCTCCCCGTCCTCCCACCCAGGGCCACTATCGAGGAGACATACTCCAAGGCCATGTCGAAGCTGTCCAAGCTGGCCAGCAACGGGACCCCCATGGGGTGAGTGTCACCTGCCCACTCGTGGTGCAGTGGGAGAGAGAGTTGCGTGTCTCACTCACTCACCAGCTCCTTCCTTCCTTCCTTTATTGCACAAATATTCACAGAGCACCTTCAGTGTGCAGGGCACCCGTGGCCACCTCCGTGCCACGTGTGTGCACCACACAAATGGCACAGTTGTCACCCCCAGACAGGAGCAGAGTGCTTTCTGTGAGGGCCAGGCAGGTAGCTGCGTCAGTGCAAAGGCCCTGGGGCAACCACACAGTTGGCCTGCTCAAGGCAGAGGTGGGGAGATCTGAGAGAGGAGGGACAGAAGGGCATGGTGGCCGGGCACAGGGGCCGACACCCCAGTGACTGTCAACTGAAGCTGTGTGATGCGCCCCTCTCCCGCCCCCGGCCCCAGGACCTTCGCCCCGCTCTGGGAGGTCTTCCGAGTGTCCTCGGACAAGCTGGCGCTGTGCCACCTGGAGCTGACTCGGAAACTGCAGGACCTCATCAAAGATGTGGTGCGCTACGGGGAAGAACAGCTGAAGACCCAGAAGAAGGTGGGCGTGGGGGGACGGGAAGTGGGGACCCCAGCCCCTGGCGTGTGGCTCTGAGGATTTGGACACCAGACAAAAGAAAGAAAAGAAAAGTTAAGTGTCAGGCATCAGCAAACTGTGGCCTGGGGGGAAAACTCGACAGGAGCCGAGCACCCTGGTTCACAACTGTAATCCCAGCTAAAGGGGAGGCTGAGATTGGGAGGATCACACTTGGAGGCTGGCATTGATTTCCCGATTAATTGGGGTTCTGGGGGTGAAGCCAGCCAGGGTCTCGTCCCCTCCCCACACTCCACACCCCCAGATATTTTTAAATGAGACCGTGGGCCTGGAGCCGCGGCAGTGTGACCACCGTGTCACCGGCTCCATGGTCCCCCGCAGTGCAAGGACGAGGTGCTGGGCACCCTGGACGCTGTCCACGCGCTGGCGGGGGTCAGCCAGCTTCTGCCCAAGTGCCGTGAGAACTACCTGAACCGCTGCATGGACCAGGAGCGGCTGCGCCGGGAGAGCACGAGCCAGAAGGAGATAGACAAGGTGGGCTTGTCTGCAGGGGTCACCCACGCTGGCCGGACCACCCGGTGTCCCCCTGTCCTAGCACCACCCCTCTCTGTGCCTCCCAGGCAGAAGCCAAAACCAAGAAGGCAGCGGAGAGCCTGAGGCGCTCGGTGGAGAAGTACAACTCCGCCAGGGCCGACTTCGAGCACAAGATGCTGGACTCCGCCCTGGTGAGGGCCCCTCCCTGCGGTCCCCAACCCCAGGGAGCCTGAGGACCGGGGGCTGGAAGCAGATTGAAACGTTAGGATCAGGAATATAGGATTGTCTTAAAGGTCGCCAGCCTTGGAAATTTTAATTTGGCACTGACAGCATTTGTAGAGTCAAGGAACTGGAAAGATTTATTTTGGGGGGCGGGGTGCGGTTCAGGCATGGCTGGAACCAAGTGCTCAAATGGTGATGGCAGGAAGTTGTGTCTCTCTGTTTTCTTCCCCTGGGGACATCACTGCCACGCATGTGCACACACAGAGAGAAAGTGGCCAGCACAAGCGTCCGTTTATTTTTATTTTGATAGTTTATCTGTACTGGCGGTGTCGGGGTTTGAACTCAGGGCGGCCTGCTTGGCTAGGCAGGTGCGCTACCGTGCAAGCCACGCCCCCGGCAGAAGGCTCATTTACATGCCAGCAGCTCATTGGCTCAAAGTCTTCATCCAAAGTCCTAGGGCAGACTCTCCCATTGGCTCTTCCCCCCCATCAATCACGTGGTGCCGGAAGGCTCTGATTGGTCTTTCCCGCTGCCCCTCCCTCCTCCCAGCGCTTCCAAGCCATGGAGGAGACGCACCTGCAGCACATGAAGGCCCTGCTGGGCTCCTTCGCGCACTCGGTGGAAGACACGCACGTGCAGATCGGGCAGGTGCGGGGCCAGGACGGGCGGACAGACGGGTTGGGGACGGACAGGCGGCCCAGCCCCTGCCATTCACGCCGCTGTCCCCCAGGTGCACGAGGAGTTCAAGCAGAACATTGAAAACGTGAGCGTGGAGATGCTGCTCCGCAGGTTTGCAGAGACCAAGGGCACCGGCCGGGACAGGCCAGGTGGGTCAGTGCCCCGCACGTCCACTGCTCACGCGCTGCCCGGGCCCAGGCAGCCGTGCAAGGCTCTGGAGTCCCATTAAAAATGAGGGGTCCTGGGTTCCTGGCGCGCTGTGTGACCCCGGGCCAGCGTCTTGACTTCTCTGTGCCCACCAGACAAGCCGGGATAATTAGACGTCTAGGGCCAGCCGGGCCTGTCCTCGTCCCCCCCACCCCCACCCCCTGACATCCCCCTGTCCCCTGCTCCGTCCGTGCCCCAGGGGACCGCGGGGCTCAGGCTTTTTGTCCTCCGTCCTGTCCAGGCCCCGTGGACTTCGAGGCCTACAGCGCGGCCGCCCTGCAGGAAGGCAAGTACGTCTGGGCCTGGGCGCCCAGCCGACCCCGGGTGGGGACCTGGGCGAGGGGACCGCGGGCTCAGCCACCCTCTGTCCCCAGCCATGAAGCGGCTGCGCGGAGCCAAGGCCTTCCGCCTGCCAGGACTCAGCCGGCGAGAGCGGGAGCCACGGGCAGCCGCGTGAGGACCACCGCCACCCCTCCCGGGAGTCACCGCCACCTCCCCGTCCCCCACCTCCCCATCGCCCACCTCCCCATCCCCCCCATCGCCCACCTCCCCATCCCCCCCATCCCCCACCTCCCCATCCCCCCCATCCCCCACCTCCCCATCCCCCCATCCCCCACCTCCCCATCCCCCATCCCCCACCTCCCCATCCCCACATCCCCATCCCCCACCTCCCCATCCCCCACCTCCCCAACCCCCATCCCCCACCTCCCCATCGCCCACCTCCCCATCCCCCACCTCCCATCCCCCACCTCCCATCCCCACCTCCCCATCCCCCACCTCCCCATCCCCCACCTCCCACCTCCCATCCCCCACCTCCCACCTCCCCATCCCCCCTCCCCATGCCCACCTCCCCAACCCCCATCCCCCACCTCCCCATCCCCCACTTCCCCAACCCCCATCCCCACCTCCCCCCCCGTCCCCCACCTCCCATCCCCCACCTCCCCATCCCCCGCCTCCCCATCCCCCACCTCCCATCTCCCCTGACCTCCCCACCCGGGTCACCCCACCCTGCCCAGGCCACCTCCCTCATCCTCAGCCCTCCCACGTGGCCCAGGACCCAGCATCCCTGACCCCCGTCTGGTGGCGCTAACGTCTCTTCCTGTCCCCAGAGACATCCTGGAACCCGATTCAGGGGTGAGTGCTGGGTCCAGGGGCGGTTCGGGGGCTCGGTGTTCAAATCCCACCTCTGTCCACATGGGAGGGACAGCCAGCCCGCCGAGTGTCGCCTTCCCCTGGCTCTGGTCCCACACCAGGGGAAGCTGGACTGGAGTCTGAGGTGACTGAAGGGGTTACCAGTGGGGGTCTGACCACCATCTGTCCCCCAGATGTGTCCAGAGGTGGATGAAGAGGGCTTCACCATCCGGCCTGAGGTCACCCACAACAATATCCTGGTGTCCCCAGGGGGCAGAGCAAGGACACCCTTGCTGGATTAAGCAGAGGGGCTTTCTAAAGGAAGGGGCACTGGTGGTGGGGTTTAGCAGCTGCATAGGAGTTCGACAGCTGGGTGGTGAGGGATAAAACGGTGCAGGACTTTGTGCAATCCCTTTGGCTCCTTGACTGCGACCTACGCACGGCCGAGCCCTCTCGCTTCTCATCCAGCGACTCCGACTTCGACGACGACGAACCCCGCAAATTCTATGTGCACATCAAGCCCGCCCCGGCCCGGGCCCCTGCCTGCAGCTCCGAGGCTGCCGCGGCCCAGCTCAGGGCCACCGCGGGCAGCCTCATCCTCCCTCCTGGCCCCGGGGTATGCGTGGCGTGGACTGGGTGGGTGGTGGCGGAGCTGTGGGCGCCATGCCTGGGGTTGGATGGCTGGATACAGCCATGCCTGACGCCGCCCCGTCTTGTCCACAGGGAACCATGAAGCGCCATTCCTCCCGTGAGTGGCCTGTGTCTTTGTCCAGAGAGGGAAAGCGGGGGGACTCGAACCCCAGCCCCACAGGCCGCTTAGCTCCTCGGACCCTCGGTTTCCCCTTCTGAATTCTGAAAGGGGAAAGAGAGCTGGGGGTGGGGGCGCAGAGGGAGGGAGGGGGCCCCCAAATGAGGTGTGAATCCCTCTCTGCCTGATTTGCGGGTCACCTTGGTCCCCAGTCTGTGCAGTGCGGTGACGCAGGCGTCTCTCCCCTAGGGGACACGGCTGGGAAGCCGCAGAGGCCACGGTCGGCCCCCAGGGCCAGCAGGTGCGTTCTGCAGAGGACACGGGACTCAGGCAGGCGGGGACCGGCCCCAGCTCAGTCCCCCTCCACCCGTGGGTGGTGTGATGGACAGGTGGCGGCGACGTCATGGGGCCTGGCTAAGGGGTGACTTCCAGCTTGGTCCCTGAAGAGGACAGAGGGGGCGGTGGCAGAACTGCAGGGAACAGCATGTGCTAAGGCCCTGAGGTGGGCGGGGGCATGGGGACAACAGAAGCCCCTCTCGGCCTCCTCGTGTCCCCAGCTGTGCAGAGAAGCTGCCGTCTTGCGATGAGCAGGTGTCCAAGAGCCTCTTTGGGCCGCAGCTGGAGTCCGCCTTCGACCACGAAGACTTTACAGGTGACAGCAGGGGGAGTGGGCGTGGCCCGGGAGGGGCTGGAGGGTGGGGCTTCACCAGGGTGGGCGGAGCTGTAGCAGGTGGAGGTTTTGCTGAGTGGGTGAGACGTTAGTGGGCGGGGTCCAGAGGGTGGGGCCTTGCTGGAGTGGGCGGGGTTGTGCCAGTGGGAGGGTCCAGAGCGTGAGGTCTTTTGCTTGATTGGGAGGGGCCGCAGGGGGTGGGGCTTGCTAGAGTGGGTGGAGCTAGAGAGGGTAAGGCCTTGTGGAGTGGGCGGGGCCAAGGGGATGGTGGTTTCACAAGAATGGGCAGGGCTGGTGGCAGCTTTGCTGAGTGGATGGACTGTAAAGGGTGGGGCGTTGCTCGTGTGAGTGGGAGGGCCCAGAGGGCGTGGTCTGTGCTTGAGTGGGCGGGGCCTTGCTGGAGTGGGCGTGGCTGTGTGGGTGGGTGGAGCCACACCGTTGCTGCAGTTGGTGGGCGGGGCATCAGAGGAAGTGGTGGTAACCCTGAGTGAGCCTTTCCTGCACGTGGGCGTGGCCTGCAGGTTGGTGGGTGGGGACTCCGTGTGGGCGTGGTCAGCAGCCCCTGCCCTCCTCTCCCTTAGGCTCCAGCAGCCTGGGCTTCACGTCCAGCCCCTCCCCCTTCTCCTCTTCGTCCCCGGAGAACGTGGAGGATTCAGGCCTGGACTCTCCGTCCCACGCTGCGCCCGGCCCCTCCCCAGATTCCTGGGTCCCCCGCCCAGGCACCCCGCAAAGCCCACCCAGCTGTAGGGCGCAGCCCCAGGAACCCAGGGGGAGGCGGGGCCCACCCCGGCCGGACTCTCCACAGCCCCTGGCGCCATCGCCAGGACCCTGGGGGCTGGAGGCCGGAGGAGGTGAGGCCAGCCCCCCGGGGGAAGTGGGGACCCCCATCTTTGCAGGAGGTGGCCATGCCTCCCTGGGAGAGGGAGGGTGGAGCCGTGCAAAGGCCCTGGGGCAGAAGCCTGCTGGGCAGAAGAGCTTGAGATTGGCGGGGGCTGGGATCGGGGGTGACCCCAGACTTCACTCACTGCCCAGACCTCATGTCCACACCTATTGACCCCACAGCCAGGGAGGGCCTGGCCGCCCCGCCCCGGAGGCCCCGCACCCGGAAGGTGTCCTGTCCCCTTGCACGCAGCAATGGTGACCTGGTAGGTTGAAGGTGTCGCCAGGGGCTGACTGCGGTCACCCGGGGTGGCATCCAGCGTGGCTCACTGTCCTGCCTCTCTCCTGTCCACAGTCTCGGTCCCTGAGCCCTTCCCCACTGGGCTCTTCAGTCCCCAACATCGGCCCAGAACGGCCCAGCTTCTCCCAGGCCGGACACGGTATGTCCCTTGTCCCCAACCCCTAAACACACAAAAGAGACCCACTTTCTCCTAATGGGGTCTGGGTGGTCTTGGTCTAAGCAGGTGAAGCAGAGCCTGGGGTATGTCTCCATTCTGTCTGTCTGTCTGTCTGACCTCATTTTCATTCCCCACCACCACAGGAGTCTCCCGGGGCCCCAGCCCTGTGGTCCTGGGCTCCCAGGATGCCCTGCCTGTGGCCACGGCCTTCACCGAGTACGTCCACGCCTACTTCGGCGGCCACAGCCCCAGGTACACGGTGATGCTGCCAGGGACAGGGTCAGTGGCAGCCGTGGAGGCCATGTGAGCAGAGCTGGGCATTACAGGAAGTCCCCGTGAGGCTAGAAACCGGGTCTGGCCGAGCAGCAGGACAGGGCTGAGCGAGCTGAGTCACGGGGAGTTTTGACATCCCTGGGGTGACCATCCAGCAGAGAAGACCTCAAAGTCCAACCACAGAGAGGAGGGGAGTGTTAGACTCAACACCTAACCTGAAGGAAACAAAAAAAAAGAGAGAGGGGAAGTGTTCTGTTCTGAGCTTCCTGGTGGCCTAGGAGAAAAGGGAAATAAGGCAGCTTCCCCCTGTGCAAGCAGGGATGTAAGTAAGGTTGTGTGTTTGGGGGGCTGTGGGGTGCAGTGGAAGCAGGAGGGCTTGGAGAGAGGTGCCAGCCCTCCCTGTCCCCCCAGCTGCCTGGCCCGAGTGAGTGGGGAGCTGACCATGACCTTCCCAGCCGGTATCCTGCGTGTGTTCAGCGGGTCCCCACCGCCCCCCGTCCTCAGCTTCCGGCTCGTACACACGGGGAGCATCGAGCACTTCCAGCCCAACGCAGACCTGCTCTTCGGGTAATGGGGCTCCGAATTCTAGCTCTGCCTTCCTGGGGGTTTGCTGTGTGACATCGGGCAAGTGTCTTGCCGTCTCTGAACCTCCTGGCTCCCTTGCTTCCTAACTGCCCATCCATCCCATGCAGTAAGGCTTTGATGGGGGACCCAGGGAGAGCGTTTGCTGAGGGTTGGGGTGATGGGTTCCCCCACCCCCATCTCTGCAGTGACTCCTCCCAGAGTGACCCAGAGACCAAAGACTTCTGGCTGAACATGGCGGCGCTGACCGAGGCCCTGCAGCGCCAGGCAGAGCAGAACCCAGCGGCCTCCTACTACAACGTGGTGCTGCTGCGGTACCAGGTGGGCCACGTGGAGAGGGCGGGGCCAGAGGGGGCGGGGCAAGCAGGCAGCCAATGAGAATCGTTGGTGGGCGGGGCGTGAGTTGTAGCCAATGTGGAAAGGTTCTGCCTGGATTATGCCAATTAGAAGAGGAGGGCCCCACCCCCTCCAGGGGTTGCGCTCTGCTGCCCTCTGCTGGCCGCAGCGTGCAGCGCAGCCTCTATGATGCGTGCGTTGGCCGCACGGCAGGCCTGGAGGGTGCTCCAAGCCGAGTCTCTCTTGTTCTCGCCCGCGTAGTTTTCCCGCCCTGGCCCACAGTCTGTGCCCTTGCACCTGAGCGCCCACTGGCAGTGCAGCCCGACCCTCACCCAGGTGTCAGTGGACTACAGCTACCGGGCTGGCGCCACCGCCGTGGCCACACCACTCACCAATGTCCAGATCCTGCTGCCCATCGGGGGGCCGGTGACCAACGTCCGCCTGCAGCCGGCCGCCACGTGGTGAGGGCGTGCGGTGGTGGGGGGGGAGGGGGTCCCTGGGTTCCATCCCAAGTCATTAAGTCAGTCGGAGACTAGTGTCCAAGCCCCTCCATGTCCCCGACCACCACGGCCAAGCTGGGTCCCCCTTCTTCCCTGGGGAGGACAACCTGACCGAGCGTCCCTCGCCAGGAACCTGGAGGAGAAGCGGTTCACGTGGAAACTCCCAGATGTGTCGGAGGCAGGGGGTGAGCGGCCCTGTTTGGGGGTGTCAGATGCATGTGGGGGCTCCCCCAGGAGATCCGGGAGAAGGCGTGCACCTGCAGCAGGTGCAAAGGTCCTGTGGCAGAGAGAGTGGAGGCCACAGGGGACCAAGGACGGGAGGGGGACCCCAGGGGACAGAGCAGGCTGACCCCCCCATCCCCCCCAGGCTCCGGACATCTCTCTGCCAGCTGGGAGCCGCTCTCGGGGCCCAGCGCCCCCAGCCCCGTGGCCGCACAGTTTACCAGCGAGGGGGTCACTCTGTCCGGCGTGGACCTGGAGCTGGTGGGCAGTGGCTACCGCATGTCCCTGGTGAAGAGGAGGTTTGCCACAGGTGAGGGGCAGAAACGGGGTGCCGATGGGATCTGGGGGGATTCGGGGGTGGGGGGGAGTCTTTGAGGAGGCCAGGGGCCATGCGGCCCAGTGGTTAGCGCCTGCCCAGCATGGAAACCCCAAGTTGGTCCCCAGCTTTGCCAAAAAAAAAAAAAGAAAAAAAAGCAAGGAAGGGGTTCAGAGGGAGGAAGTGGGGGCTGGGGCGGCTGGCGTTTCCTCACTGTCCCCCCACCTTCTCCCCCACCCACCCCCCAATGCAGGGATGTATCTGGTGAGCTGCTGAGGTCAGCGCTGCCCTGTCCTGGTGCTCACTGAACCCCCAGTCCCCCCGAGACCTGGACTCCACCGACAGGAGCCCCCCAGTCCTCACCACGCCCACTGGCTGAGCCAAGATTCCCCCCCCACAAATCTCGCCAATCTTCACCCCCACCCCCAGGTTCTGGCCTTTTAATGTTGTTTAAATAAACTTTATTTTCTAACTAAATTACAAAGATGTCTCCTAAACAGTGCCACAGAGGGGACCATCAGGAAAACCACCCAAGGAGGGGCACTTATCATCGGGGTTTTGAGGTACGAGTAGGAGTTGATAAGCTGGGGAAGAACTTAGTCAACCCAAGGAAGTCAGTAGTTGGCACAGAAGCATTAATTGAGCACCTGCAGTATGCCAGGCAGTGGGGATGTAAGCAGAGTACAGTTCACAGCTATGCAATCAGAGCGTCTCTGACTGTGGCCGAGCCTCAGTTTCCCCTTTGCTCGCACTCGCTGGGTGTCTGTGGGTGTCTGCACACTTGGTGCAGGAACAGAAGCCGTGGTGGGAGGTCGTGCTGGAGGCCAGCCTTGCTCCTCTCTGACCTCCCACCGTGACCTCCAAGGGAAGGGCCAGAAGGGGGACAGACACCCTACCGCAGCTTGCAAACTCCTACTCAGCCCTCAAAACCCTGCTTACAATGCCCCGTCCTTAGGAAGCCTGCAGGACTCCTTATGTCTGGCCTGCTTTCATCCTAGGTTTCGTTAGCCGCGGGAAAACATGGCTCAAGCGCTGTGTGCAGGGTGACCGGATGGTCACAGCGCAAGGGGACTCGGCAGGCAGAGGGGTCTCCAGCACACGTGCCTTCCTGGCCTGTGGGGTGGGGTGCACGGGGCAGCATTTGGGGTGCAGCTGGTGGCTTTAATCTGCTGTTCCTGGGACAGCAGATCCCTTTGAAAACACCAAAGACCTTTTTCCCACAGAGCCGGGAGGGCGGGGACCCGTTCACTCCCAGGGTGGGGTGTCGTTAGGCCATTTATGACACCCCAACTCTGAAGCGAAGTGGCCAATGGGCTCAGAGGCCAAGGTCACGCTCGCCTGGCGAGGGCCCGGCTGCTTTCTTTTGGTTTTGTCTTAATTGCAGTGAAATGCACATCACATGAAGTCCAGCATTTTCAAGGGCACAGCTCTGGGGCTATGCCCCCCACCCCCAAATGAAGTGGAGGCACGGCCCCCTCCCCTGGTCCCTGCAGTGTGGATTTGCTGTTCTGGTCGTGTCCTGGCAATGGAGGACGCACCACGTGGGCTTTGTGTCTGTCACCACGGCGTTTCCATGGTTCCTCCGGTTGTGGCGTGCAGGGTTGGCTCCGTTCTTTTTCAGAGCCGAGTAAGATTCCGCGGTGTGACTGCAGCACAAGTCGTCCACCCCCTTGGACTGTGCGCACCCGTGTGCAAGGGTTTTCCGCAAGGTCTGTTTTGTATCTTCTGCCACCAGGAAAGGCGGGGATGGTCCTGTGACACCTAGCTTGCATTTGAGTCCAGAGCTGATGGGTGACCACGGCGTCCAGGGCTTGGAGGGACAGGGCAGGGAGGACCTGGCTTGCTGAGGTTCTGGAGGGGCAGGAACGGTGGGTGCACTCGCTTATGGGGCACCAGCTCCCTCCCTGGAGCCCCATGGGGTGAACATGCACTCTAAACCCATAGGGGCCCTATGGGGACAGCGACACACATGTCGCCAGCCTGCATAAAGCCAGGTGAGACAGGGCATCTAACCCCTCGGATGAGGGGAACAGTCAGGAATGGAGGGGCGGGACCACGGCAGGGGGCGGGGCCAAGGAGGGCGGGGCCAGAAGGGGCGGGTTTGGTGGTGGAGAGTGGCTGTATGGAGACAAGAGGAGGTTGGTGGGCGTAGCCTGGAGGGGGCGTGCCCAGGAGGGGGCGGGGATGGTGGTGGGTTGAGGCTGTGAAAAGGGATGAGTCTAGGGAGACGGGGCGTGTTTGCGAGTGGAGGGCGTGGTCGGAGGGAGGGGCGGGGCTGAAGGGAGATCGGGCCTATAGGAAGAACGAATCCCGATTCCCGGGGCATAGGGGCGTGTCTGAGCGTGGAGCGGGTCTGCAGGTGAAGATGGGCAGCAGATGAGGGGGCGTGACTGACAAGGAGCGTGGGGGCGGGACTTGTGAGAGGGGCGTGGTCGGAGAGGACTCGTCTTCTGCCTCCCCTCCTCCCTACAGCGGGCTCCCCAGCGCTGGGCTGCGCCTTGGGGAGAGAGCTGGACCGATGGGAAGGGGTTGCACTTCTGTGTGGGGCTCCAGCGCCCTCTTTGGGGCCCCATGGGGTGAACACGGGCTCTGAACAAAGTCCAGGCTGTTATGGCTGATATTGGGACAGCAAGGTAGATATCACCAGCCTTCATAAACCCAGGAGAGGTCGTTCATCTGCCCGAGCAGAGTCCACAGCTGACCCTGGGGCGTGGAAATGGGTGCAGCCAGGGCGCACCTCCTCCTGGGTGTGTGTGGGGGTCGAGGGACCCGGAGGGGAGAGGACGGGGCGTGGCCGGGACAGGGTGGCTGGTGGTGGAGGGGCGGCCTAGGGGGGAGAGGGCGTGGCCTGGAAGGAGTGGAGTCTGGGAGAGGGGCGGGGCTGGTGGCGGGTTGGTGCTTTATATACAGTTGAGTCTGGGGCTATGGGATGCAGCTAAGAGGGGCGTGGCCAAGATGGGGCTTGCATCGAGTGGGGCGGGGCTGTAAGAAGGAAAGTGGGGCGGGACTAGCCGTGTGGTGAAAGGATGAGTGGCACAAGCAGCCGGCAAGGTTGACAAGGCGTGTCCGGGAGATGTGGGCGTGGTCAGATGGAGGGGCGGGGCTGATGGGAGCTTGGGCCTATAGGAAGAAGGAATCTCGGGACATAGGCGGGGCGTATCACCGAGAGGGGCGTGGCCCGTGGTGGGGGCGTGGCCGGGGAACTCCGCCTGGGCGGGGCGCGAGGGGGGCGGGGACTCGGTCAGGTGAAAAGCGCCGGCGGCGGCGGCGGCGGCGGCGGCGGCGGCTCCGGAGTCAGACGCGCTGCCGCCTGGTGAGTGCCGCGGGGTCTCCGAGCACTCAGTGTCCCCTCCTGGGTCGGGGGGCGGGACAGCATGGGGACACCGCTGGCGGTGGGGGGGACAGGATGGGGACACCGCTGGCGGGGGGGGACAGGATGGGGACACCGCTGGCGGGGGGGGACAGGATGGGGACACCGCTGGCGTGGGGGAAGGGGGACCTGGTGAGCGACTTCCGGCCTCCGAGCCTCAGTTTCACTCTGTGTCAAGTGCGTTCAGTTATGGGGACAGGCGAGGAGGGACGGAGTGCAGTGGCCACTCACTGTCACCGTTGTCACCTCGCTGGTGATTGTGTCACAGCTGCCCTGGTGACCAGATTTTCTTGTTTTTATTTCTTGCTTGAGACCTGGGCTGAGGCTGGCCTCGAACCCCCATCTGGTGCCTCTGCCTCCAGATGCAAAGGTCATCTTTCCCTTGGCCAAGCGTGGGGACTGTCCCCAAAGCTGCCACCACCACCAACCCCCTTTTCCAGGCTTGTTAGCGTCAACCCACTCGTCCCAAGGCCACCGCGTGCGTGTGTCACCTGGGAGACAGGTGCGGCCAAAGGACAGGTGGCCCTCACCTGGCTTAGGTGAGCGGTGGCTTCTGTTTGCCCAGCCCTGCCCAGCTCAGCCCGGCCACCCTGTCCCCTGTCCACACCCCGGGGTGTGGCAGTTCCGGTCACGTCCCCATGTCCAGTCCAGGTATAGGGGACACGGGAGCTTCTGTGTCCCGAGACCCGCGTCCCCCTGTCGCCAGGCCGGGCTGTGTCAGCCCAGGACACATAGGCAAGGAGTCACTAGGTGACCTGACCTGTTGTCCCCTGACCACCAAAGCCCAGAGCAGGAAGGGACTTGCCAGGGCCCCCCGAAAGGTAGCCCGTCTCCCTGGTGGGACTCGGCCTGGCTTGATCGTCTGCCGGAGACGGGAGCTCAAAACCAGCTGGCCGCGGCCTCCGTGCCTCAGTTTCCCTGCCGTGGCGCCCCGCCGGCCGGGCTCGGGTGCAGGGGTTGGGGCCGGGCCCCGGGGCGGCGGCCAGGCTGTGCGCATGACGGGCGTGTTTGCTCGGAGCTGATTACGCAGACACTTGCCTTCGTGGACATTTTTCTTTGCACGGCGGAAATAAATCTGATCCACCCCTGGGGCTGGCCACCCCCAGGTCTAGGAAGTCCCCAAAGGAGGGGACTAGGCCCCAAAGGGGACTTTGTGTGTGGCCTTCCTTACACCTGCATTGAGATGTTCAGCTGCCTTCCCCGCCTCCGTCCCCACCGGCTGGCCCTTTTGGGGTTCAGTCCCAGAAGGGGTGGCGCTTGTCCCAGCCTTTGATCCCTCCATGGACAGTGGCGGGGGCGGGGTGGCCCTCTGTGACCTGGAAACCGGGAAGTCGAGGTCGGCAGGGCGGGTCCCCCCTTCCCTTCCCTTCCGTGTCCTCAGGGCTCAGAGTAGGTGTTTGGTGACCTGCTCACTGCAGGGGCCTTTGGAGCCTGTGTTCTTTCTTTTCTGCTCATAAATGTCACTCCCGCTCCTGTTTAAACGGATGTTCTCATGGCTATGGGGTGGGAGGGATGGGTGAGGAGCCACCATTGGAGCTGGGCAGGTGGGGTGCAGTGGGGATCCCTCAGGCCTGGCTGTGTTACCTCAGGCGGTTGGATGCCCTCTCTGTGCCCTTTTCGTCTACCTGGAAACTTAGGGGTCCGGGAGACTCCGGGGGACACCCTGGGACTCCTGAACCCGACTTTGCTCGCTGTTACACTTCGGTGAGACCCGGGTCCTTTCTGCCCCCAGAACCTAGAACCAGGTGTGGCATCTGCGCCAGGTGACAAGCACTTGCTCAGGTGGACGATAGCTTCACGTGATGCTCCAAGTAACCCAGCTGGCTTGTTGACGTCAGGCACCCCCCCCCGTGGAGCTCATGAATATTCAGTGTGTCATTAACATTTCGTGCTCCTAGGCTGAGGCCTGGAGTTCAATGAGAACTGGGGGGGGGGGCAGCAGGTGCAAAGGCCCTGGGGCAGCCTGAGCCTGGGGGGTTCAGGGATCCATCCATGGCCAGCGTGGCCGCAGGGAGAGCAGACTGGGGACTTGGGGGGGCTTTGGGGTGCCCAGAGCACCCCACATCCACAGCCACAGCGCAGAGGGAGGCCCATGCCAAGACGAAGCGGCTCGGGTGCAGGAAGGACACACAGCCCCAAGGCAGGCAGCCCGGTGTCCTTGCTCTGACATTCTATTTGTGCCACTTGAGTGACATTTCCTGCCCACCCCGAGCCAAGCCCCTCCCCGGGCATCCTTGCCGCCCAGGCCAGGGCTTCCTTCCTCACCAGACCCAGTGCCAGCCGTCCCCGTGTCCCCGTGAAAAGCCCAGAGCTTCTCAGACTCTGTCCCCAGCTGTCCTCTGTCCACCCTGTGCACCAGTGACCGGTCTGTACCTGCAACACCAAACTCTTCCCCTGGCTGTCCCCCAAGCTGTGACCATCCCTGTCCCCAGGAGAGCCTCCATGGCTCCCCGCCACCCCACCACCATCTCCCCCACAGCTGTGCCGTCGGCCACTGTCCCCAGCACTGTCCGGGGGTCCCTGTCGTCCTTCAGTGTCCCTGAATCCGGCGCCTGGGGTTCCTCTCCCCTCTGCAGCCCTTTGTCACGGCTGTCACTGGCCATGAATCTTGTTGTGACCAGGGGTGGCCTGGGCTGCAGCGTGCCGCATGCAGCAGGTGCTCAGCAATGCTGCTTGCATCCTGGTTCTCATCCTGCTCCCTGCCCAGCCTCAGTTTCCCCATCTGCTGGGAGCCGGGACACAGCTGCGCTGGGCCGGGCCCTGTGGGGACCATGGGCAGCACTGCCCTTGTCCTCTCGAGGACACTGGCCGCAACTAGACCGCGACACTGAAGAGCCTGAGTTCGAGGATACAGGTGTCCCTATGCTGATGAGGCGACATGTATGCTAATGAGCTGACAACCGCTATTCAAATGAGCTGACTCCCCTATGCTAATGAGCCCACATCTCATATTCTAATGAGCTGACCCTCCTATGCTAATGAGCTGACACCTATGCTAATGAGCTGACACCTATGGTAATGAGCTGGCTGTGGTCACAGCCCCGGTGGCTTCAGCACAGGGGTTCTGCTCACTGGTGGCCGTGATGCTCACCACTGTCCCTGAGGACAAAATGGGGAACAAGACAGGCCGGGTGGACACTAGGACCCCATGTGTCCCACGGTGTCCATCAGGAGTGGACATTTGTGCTGAGGCCGAAGCAGACCCTGTCCCCAGCCCCGTTGCTGATCTGTGACCCCATTGGAACCTAAAAGCTACGGTCAGCCTCATTCCCAGGCCGTAGCTGCGTGGGTCACTCGGGGCTGAAAGGGGACAGGGGAGGGCTCACTAGCCGTCCCCACACTGTTCCAGGTGCCACAGAGGGAGTGAAGACAGCTCAGCAGAGCCTGAGGTAAGTGTGAGGTTTGACATTCATTCAACAAACCCTCACTGAACATGCACAAGGTACCAGGTGTGGGAAGCCCCTAACTGCGGGGACACAAACCGGACGCAGACACTGTCATGTATTTGGGATGGGGGTGGACGGGGAGGCAGAGACCAGGGTTCCCAGCTTCCTGGAGGACGGGTCATTTGAGATGGGTTTCAAGGGAGGAATAGGAGTTTGCTGGGATTGCAGGTTCTGTAAAGAGCTGGGGTGCGAGGTGAGGACGCAGAGAACAAAAAGCCAGATGGGGTGTGCGGTTTCCTCCCCTGCACCCCAAAATTAACAACATGGGTCCCCAGAACAGCCGGGGTGGTGCTTGGATAATCAGCGTTGTGCCCACCTGGACCTGGCGTCCACGTCGCCCCCGCACAGGAGCTGGTCAAGATGCGGTGTTCCCGGATCAGGCCTGACCTGTGGCTCACGGTGGCCCTGGGGACGGTGACCCTGGTGGCCCTGCTCAGCCTGCGTCCCCGCCACCCGCGGTGTCCTGCCCGGCGATGTCACCGGACCCCCCCGGCGAGGCCGAGGCCCGGTCCTCGCTGTCCCCCCGCCCGCCCGCGGCCCCCGCCCTGCGTGGCCAACGCCTCCATGGCCTCGCACCCCGACTTTGCACAGCAGCCACGCCACATCCGCGACTTCCTGCTGCACAGGCACTGCCGGGCCTTCCGGCTGCTGCAGGACGCCGTGGCCACCAAATGCGCCCCGGCCGTCTTCCTGCTCATGGCCATCAAGTCTCTCGCCCCACAACTACGAGCGCCGCGAGCTCGTGCGCCGCACCTGGGGCCGCGAGCGGCAGGTGCAGGGCGCCCCGCTGCGCCGTGTGTTCCTCGTGGGCACCGCAAACGACCCCCACCAGGCCAGCAAGGTCAACCGGCTGCTGGACCTGGAGGCCAGGACGCACGGGGACATCCTGCAGTGGGACTTCCACGACTCCTTCTTCAACCTCACTCTGAAGCAGGTGGGCCAGCCCTGGGCAGGGGACGGAGCCGGCGGAGGGCGTTCCGGGTGGGGTTTTGAGGGGTGCAGAGGAGTCCAGCGAAGATCGAACTCCCAACGCGGGTCACCGCCGCGCCGCAGGTGCTGTTCATGGACTGGCAAGTCAGCCGCTGTCCCAACGCCAGCTTTGTCCTCAACGGGGACGGACGACGTCTTCGCCCACACGGACAACATGGTCACCTACCTGCGAGGTCATGACCCCGACCGACACCTGTTTGTGGGTCACCTGATCCAGAACGTAGGGCCCATCCGTGTCCCCTGGAGCAAGTACTATGTGCCCCACCTGGTGGCCCCCAGGACCACTACCGCTACTGCGGTGGCGGGGGCTTCCTCCTGTCCAGGTTCACGGGGACAGCCCTGCGCCAAGCTGCGTCCGCCCTCGACCTTTTCCCCATCGACGACGTCTTTCTGGGTATGTGCCTGCGTCACCAGGGCCTGCGACCCGCCGGCCACAGCGGCGTCCGCACGGGCGGCCTGCACTCCCCCTCCGCCCGCCTGTCCTCCTTCGACCCCTGCTTCTACCGCGACCTCCTGCTCGTGCACCGCTTCCTGCCCTACGAGCTGCTGCTCATGTGGGAGGCACTCAACAGGCCCAATGTCACCTGCGGCAGGCAGGCCCGGCTCTACTGAGGTGCCCCCCCCCCCCGCCTCCCCGCCTCCCCCCGGGGAACTGAGGTTGTTGTCTGAGTAGGTGAGGGTTTGTCGAGTGAATATGCTGCCGGCCAACTCCTACACACCCTGCAAAACCTCCTGTGTCCCGGAGGAACTGAGACTGTTGTCTGCCTAGGAGAGCTGGGGAGAGTTTGTTGAGTGAATGGTCTGCTCGGTGAACTCCTACACACCCTGCAAAACCCACTTGGCACCACTCAGACCATAGTCCTTAGGTCTGACTACAGGAAACCCAGGAAATGTGACAGTGTCCTTCGTGTGGCAGTTAGAAGCTGGGGGCTGCCCCTTCTCGCCGGTGGCCTCAGGTGCTGTGACAGTGGACACTGGACAGAGGACAGGCCGCTGACCCCAGGCTGGGTTAGAAATCAGTCCAGGGTTGGGGGTCCTGTGTCCCTGGCCGGCACCTCACACCCTCCATCCTGGGAAGTGGACACTCCAGTGTCCTTCACATGTTGGGGACATACAGTGACCCCAATACCCGGGCCGGGCCCCCAGGCATTGTGGGGGACAGGGTGGCTGGGAGTGACGTCCTCAGGGAATAAATAAGCTTTGTGCAAAATTTTGCAGACCCCGTCCCTCTGCCCCAAATTAGCATTTACGGGGCCTCCTCCTCCCTGTTCCCCAAGCAACTCTGCTGTGCCTGCTGTGTGTTGCTCCCTAAGTGAGCGTGGGGAGGGTTTGTTGAGTGAATATGCTGCTCGGCCAACTCCTACACACCCTGCAAAACCCGTGACCCACCCACACACGTTGTGGTCTGCGGCAGCAGCAAGAATTAAAGGATTCAAACCCACTTAGAGAGACGAGGCTGGGGGAGAAGGAGGCCAAGCAAAGGTCCCCTGTGCTGGGCCGGGCGGGGTGGCTGCATCACCTCCCCTGTCACCCCGGGCTGGAGCCAGATAAGGATAAAGTACCGGGAAAGGGGACAGGAGGTGACCGACAGGGGCCGGGCTGGAAGAGGGCGTTGGTGTGGTTTGGGAGGTGTGAAAAGCTGGGCGCCTTCAGGAGGTGGAGGCAGGGAGGCTGAGAGGTTGAGGCCACCGGAGGCCGGGTGGCGTCCACCACAGAAGGACACGGGGCTGCTTCCATGATTGATTTATTTCTTCCCGGGGGGACAGGAAGCCGGGGACGCGTGCGGGGGGGACCGTCAGTGGACATCGGGGTGTCTGTAGCAGTCAGGGACGGCCCCAAGTTTTAGGGGACCCGGCAGCCCTCCCCCGAGGCCGTGGGGTGCGGGGCGGTCAGTGGGGACAGAGCCCCAGCAGGTCACTCTGGGTGCAGCCGACCAGGCAGCAGCCGTGTGCGGGGTTGGCGACGGCTGCGCGGCGGTGGCGGTGGCCGTGAGGACTCTGGGGACCGGGTTGGGGACCGGGTCCCAGCGCGAGGTGTCCATCTTCAGCCACCTGTCCGAGGGGTGGACGTCCCTCCAGCCACAGGTCACCTGGGGACGCAGGGTCACCGTCACTGTGCGCACATGGCGGGAACAGCTCACGCCTGTGATCCCGGCTGCTGGGGAGGCTGAGCCGGGAGGATCGGAGTTCGAGGCCGGCCTCCAGGTGGGGGGAGAGTGCGGAGGCCCCTCCCCCACTCTGTGACAAGTGACAACCACACCCCACCCCCTCACTCACGGTGGCCATGGCCGCTCTCGGGGGCCCAGCGGGGTCCCCCGCACGCCCGCACCAGCGCCCGCAAGAAGTGGTGGCCGCATAGCTTCTCTCGGGTCCCCGTGGCCACCGCCAGGCCCGGCGGCGACACTGCGATGGACGCCAGCAGCAGCAGCAGCAGTGTCCAGCCGGGGTCCATGGTGGCCGTGGCTGCCCCGTCCCCCGCTGTCACTTATAGGTCAGCTGTGTCCCCGGGGGGAGGAGGACGAGGACGCCAATGAAGGCCAAGGGGGCCGGCTGGGCTCCCCAGCTGGACACCACCCCGCTGGGCTGTTGCTGTGGGTTCGGTTTTTGAGATGGGGTCTCTATGCACCCCAGGGGAAATAAACTGACTGCTAGTGAGCCTGGCCGAGGTCATAGGTCATCACAGGTGGCTGCGGACCCCAGGGCAGGGCTGGGTCCCCCCATCTTTGCCCCCCCACACATGAGGTGACCTCCCCTGGCTGACGCCCCCCCCCACAGCCTCGCTCCCCAAATCCAGCCTTGCCCTCTGACCCCGGTGCAGCTGCTTCCCCGCTCCTAGCTGGGCAGGATGGAGCCCCAAGGCCACAGCTGTGCGGGGGCGGGGGGACGTCCCTCTGCGCCTCCCCCACAATGTCCACCCGCCTGAGACGCCCCTGACCCACAGCCCCGGGTCCAGCCACAAACCATCGGATCTGTTGAAGTCCTTTATTCAATCAACAAACACTCCCAGAGCGCACTCTGCGCCTACCCTCCGAGGACCACTACACTACTCCCCCCCAGGACCAGGAAAGGGAGGGAGGACAGAGCCGTGGACACGGCCACCGTCCGCGCTCTGCAGCCAGAAGAAGTGGTGGGGACACCTCAGGGAGCACTGCAAGGACCTGGCAGCTGGGGTTTTGAGAGACGAATAAGAGTTTTCCAGTCAGGGTGTGGGCACAGGTGGGGAATGGGCTGGGGTCTGCCCTGGGGACACGGATCCGGGACAGTCACCACTACCCGCGGCTGGCACTCCACAAGGCCTCGAGCCGGGGACCCAGGGCGCCGAAGGATGGCCGGTCCTGCGGGGTGGGGGCCCAGCACAGCCTCATCAGCTCCTGGACCTGGGGGGGCGGGGAGACAACGGGGTGGCGCTGAGCACCCCAAATCCTCCATAGCTCCCGTGTCGCCTCACAGCACCGAGGCCACTGGACCTCAGGGCTGCGCCCCCTCCTCCCAGGTGACCCGGCCAGCCTGCAGCGCAGGGCGTGGTATACAGTCGGCGCTCAATAAGTGCAGGCGGCGGGAGCCGGGCGTGGTGGTGCACGCCTGTAATCCCGGGGCTCTGAGCTCAGCCCCCCACTCATCGGGGTGGGTCCCCGGGCAGTGGGTAAACTGAGGGAGGGCTGACCTCAGCGGGGCAGGTGGGGGGCGCGGGCAGCCGGCGGCCCTCGGCCAGCAGCTCCAGCAGGCGGCACAGGTTGGGGGCGTCGCGGTCGCCCCCCATCATGCGCAGGAACTCCTGGGAAAGAGGGGTGCGGTGGGGGCGGGGCGGTGGGGAGGGGAGGTGGGTGGGGAGGGCGGGGGCGTGAGGGGCGGGGCGGGGCTAGAGATGGGGCGAGGGTGAGGGCGGGGCTGGGCTCGTGATAGTGGCGGGGCTAGTGGAGGGGTGGGGCGTGACTAGTGATTGGGGCGTGGCTAGTGGAGGGGCGGGGATAGTGATTGGGGCAGGGCTAGTGATTGGGGCGGGGCTAGTGATTGGTGTGGGGGCGTGGCTAGTGATTGGGGCGGGTCGGGGCGGGACTCACAGCCGAGGGGCTGCGGGCCTTGTCGCCGTAGGTGAACAGCTCGTACAGCAGCACCCCGAAGCTCCACACGTCAGACTGCCGCGAGAACACGCTGTCCGCCAGGGACTCGGGGGCGAACCTGGGGACACGGGCCACGCCTGCCTCAGCTTACCCAGGGGACCAGGGCGCCCGCACCCCGCCGGGAGCGGGATGGGGCCAGTCTGAAGGGGGCGGGGCCAGAGCGAGGGGCGGTTTGGGCGGGGCTAGAGCGATATTGACGTGGGACTGGCCAGTGCAGTGAGAAGTATAGCTGGAGGCGGGGCCAGCGGGGAGGGGCGGGATTGTGGGTGGAGCCAGAATGCTGAGAGAGGGGAGGGTGACGCAGGGAGCAGTGGGCGGGGCTAGATATGCAGTCCGGGCCACTGGGGGTTGGGGGGCGGGACCACGCGCTGACCGCAGGATGAACTGGAGAGGCAGAGATGGTGTCAGACTAGGAGCAGGTGAGGCTTGGGGAGGGGGCGGAGCAAGTGTACGGTGGGCGGGACTAAGAGTGGGCCTATCCCAGGGCAGGGTTGGAAGCGCAGTTAAGGCTGGGGGCGGGGCCACTGTTTATGGTGGGCGTGGCCTAGACAGGTGAGTCTGAGATGTGCGCGGAGGTCCAGAGCTGGGAGGGGCGGGGCTATGTAGGGGGCGGGGCCAGAGGCTGCATGGGTGAGGCCAAAGCATGGATGGGAGGGGCTATGGAAGGGGCGGTGGCACAGCTGTCATTGGCAGAGCTGTGGATGGGGCGTGGTCAGAGGCTGGGCGGGCGGAGCTATGGAGGGGCGAGGTCAGAGGCTGGTGGGCGGGGCTATGGACGGGGCCGGATGGGGCAGGGCTCCCACCAGAAGATGGGGCTCTGGCCGGGCTCGCGGACCACGTAGTAGTCCTTGTCCAGCGGCAGCAGCTTGGCGAGGCCGAAGTCGGCGATCTTCACGTGCGCCTCGCTCTCCACCAGGATATTGCGCGCGGCCAGGTCGCGGTGCACGCAGCGGCGGGAGCCCAGGTACTCCATGCCCTGCGTGGGGGTGGACGCGGGCCGGCCTGGATCCCAGCTTCCCTCCTCCACAGCCCACGTGCCCAGCAGGTCCCGGGAGCCCCTCACCCGCACCCCAGGCCCGCACCTTGCAGATCTGCGTGGCGTAGAGCAAGAGGCGACCCGTGTCCAGGCGTGCTCGGTGGCGCTGCAGAAAGTCACGCAGGCAACCACTGGGCAGGTATTCCATGACCAGCCGCAGGCTCTGCCGGCCTGGGTGGACGGAGGGGTCAGTGCACCAGCCCGACCCCACCCAGCCCCCCACAGTGCTCCGCCACAATGGGAAACTGAGGCTCAGAGAGGCTGAGCCCGTGCGCATCTGAATCCAGACCCTCCGCGGCGGCCCCCGCTGCAGCCCCCGCTGCAGGATGCACATGGCGACCCTCACCTGGGCCATAACTGACGCCCCGGTACTTGACGATGAAGTCGCTGTGCAGCGCCTTCAGAATCTGTACCTCCCGCTGGAAGTCCCGCTGCTGGTCCGGCCCGCTGTGCTGCAGCTGCTTCACGGCCACCAGGGCGCCGGTGTTGTCACCCAGCGGGTCATACCGGCACAGCTCCACCGTGCCAAAGTTGCCCTGGGCCAGGGCAGGGCTGCTGAGCATCTGCTGCGGCCCCGGGCAGGCAGCCCAGCTTTCAAGGGCACGCCCACCAGGTCTTACCACGCCCCCACTTCAGGCCCCGCCCACCACCTCAGGCCACGCCCACTATGCCTGGACCACGCCCCTCCCACCGCCAGGCCCCGCCAAATATGCAACAGGCCCCGCCCACGACCACACCTGGATATGCACACACCTGCCCATCACGCTCAGACCACGCCCCTCCCACCACCTTCAGGCCCCGCCCCTGGTACAAGCCACCTACCAACCACGCCCCCACCACAACCACACCCCATGCACTGTAAGCCACACCCACCACGGCTCAGACTCCGCCCCGACCCAGGCCCCATCCAACCATGCAATAGATCACGCCCGGCCACGCCCCCACAACACAGACCACGCCCCAGCTAACCTGGCCACGCCCACCTTACCTTGCCCAGCTGGGAGATGTACTTGAGGTGCCGTTCCTCAAAGATGGTGGGGTCCTGACAGCTGTAGAGCTGGGCGCTACTCCACAACCCGTCTCGGGGTGCCAGGGTGCCAGGTGCTGGGTCTGAGAGAAGCTCGTAATCTGGGGGACACAGGTAACTGGGTGACCTCGTGTGAACATCACGGAGTGACCACTGGGAGCCCCAGCTGCGGACAGCATCCTTCAAAGGTGCGCTGCACACCCTGTGCAACTGCACGTGGTGACAGTCAGGGAACACGTGACTCCTTGTCGCCCCCCGTCTGTCCCCCCGGTGGACCTAGGGGACACTCCGCCTGCCTGACGTGATGAGGCTATTGAGGTCGCGCACGATGGCCCTGAACGATGGCCGCCGGCCCGGGTCGTAGGCCATGCACTGTTGGACCAGCTGAGCCAGCTCTGTCCACTTCGGGGCCGGCAGCCGCTGTCGCTCCTCGTAGAACTTGAGCTTCTGCGGTGGGGGGGACAGGGCGGTCAGTGCAGTCCACTCTAGAGAGGGGACCCGGCCACCTGCCCGTGGTCCACTCCCCCCAATGTCTGACCTGGGCGGGGTCCAGGCTGCTGACGGGCATGGGCGCCCCGCTGAACACCTCCCAGGCCGTGGCCCCGAAACCCCACTTGTCAGCCTCCAAGCCCAGCGTCTGAATGTCCCCGAGGCACTGCAGGCACTCGGGGGCCACCCATGGGATCCTGTCGGTCAGCACTGGGGGACGATCACGGTCAGGGCCACTCAGGGCCCCGCCAGGCCTCCCTCCTCCCCCCACACCCGACACGCACTTTCCAGGCTTAGCACCGTGGGGCTGACGCCAGGGTCACTCAGTTTGATGAAAGGGGGGCTCCCGTCAGTCCCCTCGCGGGCCAGCAGCACCTTCCGAGCGGACACGTTGCCGTGAGGGAGCCCCTTGTCCTCCTAAGGGGTCAGGCGTAGAGGAGGAGGGAAGAGAGTGGTTGGCACCCCCTCCACCGGGTGGAAAATGCAGGGGGGAGCAGACAGACGGACACTCACTCACCAAGTAATTGAGAGCATAGGCCAGCTGCTTGATCACCTGCAGCTTCCAGCTGGCGGGCACCAGGGGACCGCGCTTACGCAGGTAAGTGTCCACTGCTCCCAGGGGCACAAATTCCTGGACCATGGTGCCTGGCAGCAGCGGGAAAGGACAAAATCGGGAGGGGAAAAAAAAACCGCACTGAGTTCAGCAGGCTCTGCTGCAAACAGCTGCTGGACGAGGTTAGGGTTCAGAGAGGTTGTGCATCGTACCCAAAGCTGCACAGCAAAGGGAACCCAGGTGTGTCTGAGCTGGGGGATTAGGGGAGTGTTGGAGGGGGGCTGGAGCTGCCACCCACAGAGGGACAAGCATGGGGGGTGGGTGACCTGGAGGAACCCAGGGACAGCAGGTAGGGACAGGGTGGGGACTCACTATCTCCCGCCATGCACACGCCATACAGCAACACCAGATGTGGGTGTGACACTTGGCTCATCAGGCTGGCTGCTTCCAGGAAGGACTGGGTGGAGCAAAAAGAAAGGACACGTCAGTCCCCACCCTGCCTGTGTCCCACCATGGCACCCCAACACTGGCCTGGTCATTCTGCCCTCCACCTGCCGGGCCTGACCCCAGGACCTTTGCACGGGCTGCCTGTGGATTCCCTGAACATTTTGCACTTTCCAGCAACACCCGGCCCTGTTGTTTCAGGATCTCGCGCGATTTCATCCCCCAGGCTCAGCCTCGCACCTCCATGCAGTGCCTGTGTGTGGCATCCATGACCTTCAGGAGCACCTCGGTCTCGCGGGCCTCGCCGTCCACCCCCTCGTGCCGATGTCCCCGGTAAATCTTGGTGAAGGACCCGTGGCCCAGGTTCTCGTGCTGGGATGGCAGGGGACATGTTGGGGAATATGGATGGAATCCCCCCCACACCGGCTACATCTGGGCTCGGGTGCTGGTCCCGTTGTATAGATGGGGAAACTGAGGCACGTGCACTTCGTGGGGGACCCTTACTAACCCACTGCAGGCTGTCGGCCGGGATCTTGTGAAATGTCATCTGGCTCAGTTTGCACTGGGGCTGAAGTGTGGAGTTTGGGGACGGGCTGTATCCCTGTCGCACCACAGTCAGGTTGGATTTCTCTATGGAGAATGGGGGTGTGTATGCGGGGGTCCCCATAAGTTACCACTCCTCATCCTGAGTGCAAAATTCACCCAGAAAAAAAGGCAAGAGACAGACAGAGGCCAAGTTTGCAGAGCCCGCTGTGCCTGGATCGAGCCGTGCCTGAAGGTGGCCCTCCTCTCTGAGCCAAGAAAATAAAAAATTTAAAAATCACGTTTTCTTCCCTTAAAGCCATAGCCACCAAGGGAAAAGTGGGCTCACCTTTGGGTCTGGGGGTGCAGCAAGATGTAAGGCTGAGTGCAACCCCATCCACGTGCAGCCCCCCATCTTCCCAACAGGCTGCCAGGAGCTCACGAAGACTGCTATGCGGCCGGCCAAGGCCCAGCAGGGAGAAGGTTCCCGTGGGGTCCCTCCGGATCAGGCAGCCCTTGTAATCTGGACCGAGGGGAGTCTGCAAGGTTGAGGGGGTTCAGGTGTCAGTGCAAAGGTCACCTCCTCCAGGAAGCCCTCCCTGCCTTCCCGCCTCTGCTTGCAACCTGGACACAGGCGGTGAGGAGGAAGTTTTCGAAGTCCTGGGGGCTGCGGCGGAGGACATAGGAGCCGGGCAGTGACCCCCCAGATTTCAGTTTGTGGATGGCAAAATCCAGTCTATGGGAGAAAGGACAGGTGGACAGGGATGCTCTGGGGATGCAGCCAGGTGTCCAACCTGGCCCAGCGACTTGGGGGAGGACTTGGGGTTCCAGGAGTGAGAGGGAGGGGTACGGCCTCGGGCTGCAGAAACGGCGATCCCAGCCTTGCTGAGTGTCTACCATGCTGGACAGGGGAGGACCTGATGGCTCTGGGGACAGCTGCTTACGTGATGGGGCCGTGGCACTGCTCGGTCACCTCCTCCAGCAGCCTTGGCGGGGCCACCTCCTTGCAGAAGAAGTGGCCCGAGTCGCAGGTCAGGCGGAAGTAGCCGTCCACCAGAGCCACAAAGGACAGCGCCTCCGGCAGCCCCGGGAACTCGGCCTCCTGCGGGGGACCCGGGGGACACGGCTCATCAGTGGCCGCCATGCTCCCCGCCCTGAGGAGGGGAGGGGAGGGGAGGGGAGGGGACCCCACCGGGAGGGGACCCCACCCACCAGGATTTGTTGGTCCATCCTGGTGATAGTGACCAGCCGGTGCTCCCCGGCCGGGCCCCCGCGTGCGGCCTGGTTGATGCTGATGTCCACGATTTCAGGAAAGTCACAGAAGGGCTGGAAGGACTGGAGGGAGGGAGAGGGCTGAGGGTCCTGGGGACCCCAAGACTCGGGGAGCCTGCGCCCCACAACCCACACCCAGCACCCACTCTTAGCCACGCCCCACCCCGCCTCTGACCCAGCTAAGCCACGCCCCCTGCAGGTCTCAGTGAAGCCACGCCTCCTGCAGGTCCCAGTTAAGCCACGCCCCCTATTGCACGTCCCTATCCTTGGATCCCCGCCACCTCTCTTAGTCCTCTCTTCTGTCTGGACCTACTGAGCCCCCCTAGTCCCGCCCACCACCCAATTCCCTCCCCTTATTGGCCCCTTCTGCGTTCATTCCCGCCCTTTGCCCCGCCCCTCTTTCTCGTACTCTGCAGCCTTGCTCCTCCCCCGAGCCCCGCCCACCGCCATTACCATCTTCTTCCGGCCTTGCCCCTGCTTAGCCCCGCCCACCAACGCGCATCTCCTCTAAGCCCCGCCCCCACGTGGATCCGGCCCCGCCCCTCGGTTAGGCCCCGCCCTCTACAGGCCCTGCCCGCACCTCGTGTTCTCCGGGGCTCCACGCCACGCCGCTTCCACCAGCCACGCGCAGCAGCCCCTGGCCGTCCTGGCCACCCGTGGCCCCAGGGAGCCACACGTGAAGGTCTCGGCGTCCCTGGCCGGGTCCAGCCGCTCCAGGTCCATGATGTACTTGGCCATGAGTGAGTGGCGGTCAGCCCCGCAGGCGGCCACGCGGTGCAGCGCGCGGTGCACCGTCCTGCGGATGCGCTTCCGTGTCACGAAGCTCAGGCCCTGGATGTGGTCGCGCAGGCGGGGTGGCAGGCAGGCCTTGTAGCTGTGGGGGGGCAGGGGACTCGGCCCTCAGCGTGGACAGGTCCCCCGGGCACCATGCACACGAGCTTCAGTGCAGGGGGACATTGGGACCTCATGGGGTGCCAGGTGCAAGGGACCTGTCATAGGTCAACACTGTGCACGGCCAGGTGTGCACTGCACAGACAGGGACATTGCAGCTGGCCGGCTCACCTGACCGTCCTCAGCAGCTCCCTTGGCTGCACAGCCTGCTCGCAGGACATCCGGGCCAGGTCCAGGACAGCCAGGCTGAGACATTCGCCCTGTTCTTTGAGGCCAAGGCCCACCGAGAGACGCCCGCTCAGCAGGTCACCTCGGTGCTGGGGACAAGCCACAAGAGAGTCAGCCAGGCCACCTACCCTCCAGCCCCAAGGTTGCAGAGCTGCAGTCCTGCGGTACAGCGAGCAGGGAACCCCCGCACACGCCCACCTGGGCAAAGAGGTGTTCCAGGACGGGCAGGTCAAGCACGGCACTGGTCAGGTCCTTACGTAGCCCAAAGCGGTGACACTTCTCCAGTCCAAACCAGTTGGGGAAGCGAAAGCTGAGAGGCAGGGGAGAGGGGCGGCCTGGCCTCAGCAGGAAACGGGGTTCAGGGTGGGGCGGCAAACTCAGCCAAGGCTGCACAGAGCCCAGGCTGTTTGGTGAATGTGCGGTGTGTGTGACCTTGACCACCCTCTCTGGACCCAAGGTCCCCCTCATCTGTGAAATTGTAGGATTTCTGCGGGGTTTGGGGTGCTTCGTACCGGAGCCTGTAGACCAAGACTTGGGTGTTGACGTCCTCCATGGAGAAGATGTGACATGGGGGGAACCAGCAGGACAAGTCTTCCGTGGCCAGAGCAAAGAGCGAGTGACATACGGGCAGAATGCCTGCAGACAGAGGCCATCAGATCCCTCCAGAGTCACTTCTGAGTCTCAGGTGCCCACCCTCCTCCCTTACCAAACTCCTACTCAACCCTCAAATCCCTAGATCCAATGCTGAGTCCTGCTCTCAAGCAGTCCTCTGTCTGATCCAGTCCCCTGGTGACCAATCCACTCACCGCTGGCCTTGGCAGCCTGTACGCAAAGCTCCTCAGCCAAGTGGTCCCCAAAGGAGAATGACAGGCACTGGGGAGGCCCAGGTCCCCGAGGGGGCAGCAGCACGTGCAGGGCACCAGCCTCCGAGGACGAGAGGCTGCAGGAGCGCTGGGAAATCAGCGGTGTCTCCTCGCTCGGAGGTGCCATGAGTGCCACCCGCCTGGGACGCAGCGAGGTGGCCCTTCAGTTCTGGCCAAGGAGACAGGGCTTCTGAAAAGGGACAGTGAGACAGAGAAGCAGGAACAGGCAGAGATGGACAGACAGAGCCAGAAGGGAGCTGCCACTCTCCCCCGCTCCGCGAAGAGAGCTGTGCTGGGCAGGACATCGGCAGTCACCATGTGTGGCCTCCACTTCCCCTCCCCGCCAGCCCAGTCCACGCCATGCACTCCATCCCCACGTGCTGCATTGTGCACACGTGTGTTCAGAAGGTGGGGTGGCTGTCCTGCCCTGCGGGTCTGGGGTCCCCAGTCCATCCGGCCCTGGATGGGACCAGTCTGATGGATGATGATGGCCAACAGGGGGTCCGCATCTCATCACCCCCAGTTAACCAGAGCCATTAGCTCAGCCCCACGTCATCCCGCCTCCTGTTACCCACGCCCCGGGAAGTCACGCCTCCATCAGCACTGCCCCAGTTAGCTCCACCCCTTACCACCACTCCAGCTGGACCCATCCATTAGCCCCACTCAGTAGCCCCGCATCCTGTTAGCCACGCCCTATGCAGCCACGCCCCCACCAACCACACCCCCTGTAGCCCCGCCTCAATCAGCACTGCCCCAGTTAGCTCCGCCCCCTAGCCCCACCCCAAGCTAGCCTATCCCAGCTACACCTGCCCATTTGCCTCACTCAGTAGCCTCGCTTCCCTTAGCCACGGCCCCAGGTAGCCACGCCCCCACCAACCACACCCCAGATAGCCCCGCCTCCATACGCCCTTAGCTCTGCTCCTTAGTCCCACCGTAGCTAGGGCTGCCCCATATAACCAAACCACCCCATTGGCCATGCCCCCAGATGGCCCCGCCTCCCGCCTGCACTGGCCCCGCCCATTGGCCCCACCCTCGTAGCCCCGCCTCCAGAGAGACTTGCTCTCATTGGCTCTGCCCCAGTTAGCACCACCCAATTACCTTAGCCGCATTAGCCGCACCCTCTTGCCGCTGCTCCAGCGCCCCACTCCCATTGGGTCCCGTCCCGTTGGCCCCGCCCCCACCAGCCCCGCCCCCAGCATCTTCCTTGCATGCACTCAGGTCTCCATAGCAGAAGCCTCGTGGACACTGGTCCCTAAGCGTCCGGCCCAGGGCTCCTTCCCCTTGGGGACCTTCCAACTCGTGGCCCCCAGGGGTGGGAGAAAAACAGGATCTCCCCCAATTAATTGACCCGGATGCAGAGCTACTCTTAGGTTTGAAAAAATAAAAACAGTTGCAAAGCTGGGCATGGTGGCCGCCCCTGTCATCCAGCTGCAAAGAAGGAGGTCACCCCAGCAAAAAACCACGACCATATGTGGAAAATGCCTCAGGCTCGAAGGGCTGGCCTGGGGCACGGCTGAAATGGCACATGTATATAAACGCCCCTAGTGGCGTGCTTGTGATGGGGTGGGTGACGAGCCCGGGGTTCTGGGTTCGAGTCCCAGCCCCACCACGTCCAGGTGTCAGCTCTGCCAGACGTGCGGGGGGCAGAGTCCCCTCCAGTCCCCAGAGGTGGCCAGCTGAGTGAGCCCTGTCCAGACCCCAAAGTGTCACCATAGTCAATCCCCTGGGGGCCCCCTCCCCAGTGAGCCCACAGCACCTGTCCCCTAAGCCAGACCGGAAAGTCCCTTGGTGTCTTGCAGAGGGTCACCCAGGGCCCAAACCAAGCCTGGGAATGTCCCTGAGCCCCCAGCACTGGAGTTGAGCCTTTGGAGGGTCCCTGTCACCATCCCAACCAGTGACCAGTGTTAGAAAAGGGACCCTGGACACGGTGCCACGGCATTTTACAAGTCCTAGGGAAAGCATGACTTTGGGAATCTTGAAAGTAAAACAGGGAAAGTCACAACCTGCCCCATTTTTGAACCTCCAAGCCCCGTATCCCGGACGGCTTGGTCACCCCCTGCTCCAAGGGAAGCAAGGGGCTGGGGACATTTGTATTTCCTGCATGTCACCCACAAAGCCCGGGGTTCCATACGACAAATCAAACCCGGGCCGGGGCGAGTGACCTGCTTTGGGGGGGGACCCTCGGCATCCCGGCCACCCCCAGTGCCAGGCACGGCCATGTGGCACTGCCCGGCTCTTACCTGGCCGGTGGGGACCGTGGACGGAGACAGGAAGGATTTTAGGCAGCACGCAGGAAAGTCCCCCTCGGCGCCTTCCTGTGTGGGCCCCATGGCTTCCTGAGCTGTTGTCATTTACCGAAAGTCACAGCCATGTGGGGGAATGGGGGTGGGGAGGTGACAGGCCAGCCTGGGAGGGGCAGAAGCTTCCAGAAACCTGTGCAATGAATGGCCTCAGGCCACTGGAGACCCCAAGACGACAGGGAAGGGATGACAGAACAGAGGAGCATTTGGAATCGCTCATGGGCAGGTCCCTGGTGCCTCAGTTTACCCACAGGTGGCATGCACCCAGGTCCTGACCTCCGTCCAGTCCGTTTGGCTCCGGTTATTTTGGAGATGGGGGTCTCATGAACTATTTGCCAGGGCTGGCCTCAAATTGTGATCCTCCCGATCGCAGCCTCCCAAGTAGCTGGGATGACAGGCGTGAGCCACTGGCACCTGGCGTGGAGGGCATTTTGTGACTGGCAGGTGCTCATCGGGTGGTCACCTCGATGCAGGACATGGGGTCAAGCCAGCTGTGGTCATTGTCACCTAGTTGTTATTTCAGAGACACCAGGCAGGGGGCAGAGATGCCCAAATAATCTGGGAAGGCTTCCTGGAGGAAGTGGCTCTGTGATGGGACCCAAGGAGAGTGGGGACTTGGGGTTTTGGCAGATCAGGGTGTTCCTGAGAAGGGCGGTGTCAGGGATATTTCCCGAGGGTTGGGGGTGAGGACGTGACCTCCTTTGGCCGGCTCAGGCAGCTGTAGTCTTGAGGTCACCAAACCCGAGGCAACCAAGGCCGACTGGGCCACTCGCCCAGTGCACATAAAGGGGAAGCTGGGGCGAGGACGCAGCAGCGGAGAGGGGTGACGTGCAGCCCATCTTCAGGGACACAGGCCAGCTTTAGGGTTGCAGGAAGAACTGGGGCAAGGCGGGAGGTCCTGGTCACAGTGGCCTGGTTCTGGAGACATTGTCCTCGCCGGGCCAGGAGGGTCAATCTGGGAGAAGAGCACCTGTGTCCCACGCTTAGCAGGAAGGTGGACACCTGTCCCCAGAGCTGCCTGGCCCCCAGGTGCTATAGAAAATCTAACAATTTCATGACTATCCACCATGGAAGGGAACTGGGGAGCCATGGCGGGTGCAGGAAGGAGACACCCTACCTGCTGTGCCTTCTCCCTTTTTTTTCATGGGAAACACAGGTCATCCTATTAGTCACGGGGACGAAGGGAAGACTCACCTGCGTGGGTCGGGAGGCAATGGGAGGTGGCAGGTGCACAGGCTGGACACGGAGCAAAAGAGTCATGCCAACGACAGGACGGCAGACTTGCCAGGTGTTCACTGCGACACGGGTGCCAGACATGGCGTTGGCCAGATAGGAAGTCAGTCTCACAGCGAGCTCAGACACCTGAGTGGACAAAGGGGAAACTGAGGCTCTGGGAGAAGGAGAAGGTCAGGCTGCCTTGGCTCCCCATGGCACAAGGCCAAGTGGATGGGTGGACGGGTGGGTGGATGGGTGGGCGGGTGGGTGGGTGGACGGACGGATGGGTGGATGGGTGGATGGGTGGGTGGATGGGTGGATTGTGGGTGGATGGATGGGTGGGTGGATGGATGGGTGGGTGGATGGGTGGATGGGTGGATTGTGGGTGGACAGGTGGGTGGGCAGGTGGTTGGGTTCTTCGTAGGCAGCCACAGGTAGATTTGTTTTCTGGAGGCACCCTGGCCGTGTGTGGTTTGGGACTTCTGAGGAGCTGGGTCGGGGGCAGAATCTTGCCCATCCCTGTGGGGCGCAGGTGCCCAGGGCTGACATAAACTCGGGTGCATTCCTCAGCAGGTCAGCACTGAGATTTCTGGGATCCCAGGTCTTGTGGGCAGGGTCCAGTTAGGATTAACACGGAAGGACTGAGAGGACAGGGTGGGTCCCTTGTGGCCTGGGGTCCTGGTTCCTGTCCAATGAGGTGAGTGTGCAGAACCAGCCTGTCAGGCCTGGATTCCTGTGGGCACTAGGAGGGGCTTCTACGTGGCCAGGTGTGTCAGGAGGAAGTTGGGGCCATGGCTATGCCTCTGGAAATGGCACAATGGAGCATTAAAAAAGAGGTAAAGCTTTAAACAAAGATAGGGGAACATTACGACCCACGGCCTTGTGCTTGTCCATCTGTCGGGTCACTGCCACCCAGTCCGCCAGATGGAAGGCCTGGCCTGAGGCCAGTGCTGGGCGTGTTGGCCTTCTGCCTCCTCTACTTCCCTGTCCTTGTCCTCAACCTCCCTTGGACCTGCGCCTCCCCTCCCCCTGCTCCTCCCCTCCCCTGCTCTTCCCCCTCCCTGCGCTCCCCTCCCCTGCCTTCCCTCCCCCTGCCCTCCCCTCCCCCTGCTCCTCCCCTCCCCCTGCTCCTCCCCTCCCCCTGCTCTTCCCCCTCCCCCTGCGCTTCCCCTCCCCCTGCTCTTCCCCCTCCCCCTGCGCCTCCTCCCCCTGCTCCTCCCGCTCCCTGCTCTTCCCCCTCCCCTGCGCCTCCCTCCCCCTGCTCCCCCCTCCCCTGCCTCCCCTCCTGCGCCTCCCCTCCCCCTGCTCTTCCCCCTCCCCCCTGCGCCTCCCCTCCCCTGCTCCTCCCCCCCCCTGCTCTTCCCTCCCCCTGCTCCTCCCCCCCCCTGCTCTTCCCCCTCCCCCTGCGCCTCCCCTCCCCTGCTCCTCCCCTCCCCTGCTCCTCCCCTCCCCCTGCTCTTCCCCCTCCCCCGCTCCTCCCCTCCACCTGCTCTTCCCCCTCCCCCTGCCTCTTCCCCTCCCCCTGCTCTCCCTCCCCCTGCTCCTCCCTCCCCCTGCTCTTTCCCCCTCCCCGCCTCTTCCTAGCCCGTGCGCCACTTCCTTTCCCACACCTCGTCCCTTTCAGTCCTCTCAAGATCCGATTTGCGCCCAGGCCCCGTCATGAGTTTTGTAGGATCTGCTTCCCACACTGGGGAAACTGAGGCACGGAGTTCAAGACTGTATGAGACGTAGGGCCTTGGGTTATCCATTTCCAAACACTCCTGTGATATGTAATCTCACAAAGACCCGTAAGCCGGGGACTGCGGCTGGTTCTTGGCACGGATGGGGAAACTGAGGCCCGGTGGCGGAGATGCGCGGGAGAAGCGAAGGCGCGTCTCGCGCCCCTGGTGGACGCACGCGGCAGCGGCCGGGCGCGCTGGTGCAGCAAAGCTGGCCCGGCAGGGAACAGGCGAAGAATTTCAAATAGTTTTTTGTGTGCGTGTTGTGACCGGGGGTTTGAACTCAGGTCCCACACCTGCAGCTCATTTTGTTCTGGTCAATTTTTGGAAATGGAGTGGGGGAGGGGGAACGGTCTCGAGCTGGCCCGAACCTCGATCCTCGATCCTCGATCCTCGAGATCGAGTGTGAAGCCCGGCTTCAGGACTTTTCTGCAAAGAAGCAAAGTCTTGGTTTCCGCATGGGTTTCACTGCCCTCCATGGCTCCCCAGGGAAGACCCTTTAATCACCGATCAGCAGCGAGAAGCTGTGCACAACATTAAGAAGCAGAGCGATGCCTGCGTAGAGAGAGAGAGGAACAGACAGACGGACACGCACATCACAGCCGTTGGGACTTGAAATCCCATGCGTGCTGCCCCTTGCTGGCGGGTGCAGAAGGATGCAGGCCCAAAGACCCACGCAGGCTTCCTTGTGATGCCCTCAAAATGGACAAAGCGCCGGGGAAACTAAAATGCAGAAGGACCTTCACCAAGCCATGCTAATTGAAGGAAGCCAGAAGGACGCAGCGGGCGCATAATGCTTGATGACGTCACAAGTCGCAAGGTGCGCGATGACGTCATAGGACGAGCGATGACGTCACGACGAACCCCAACCCGGGTCTGCAAGCACTCAAGCCCAGCGCTGTGAATCCCAAAGACGGTGCATCAAAACCCACCCCAATGGCAGTGCAGCGCTTATGCAATGCTCGTGGCTAAGGATCTCTAGGATAAAAAAAGTTTGCATTCCCATTTTATGTACCATAAGTCCCAGGTTGTTGGCTCGAGATCTGCGTCGTTCAGCCCGAGGCAAGAAAAATAGTAACACAAATTATGTAAAGGAAAAAAAAATACACCGTGAAAAGTCTAAGTTCGAACACTTAGCATCCCCAGGAAGAACACGTGAACCAACGCAGGAGACCCTCAAGTTCCTACAACTCCCAGCGTGCCTCGTGCGGCGCCGTCGCTCCATTACGGAAGTAGACGGAACACGGAGAGCTCGCCGCACTCCCTTCTGGGAGATGTAGGTTTACTATCAAGAGAGGTAGGGCTGTGAGTCGTAGGCGGATCCACAGCCAATAACGAAGTCACCTTCTTTGAGCGCTGCTCTCAAGAGCCAATAAGGGCGTGGCATCTAGAGGGCGGGACTTCCGGCAAGGAACTCGTGGTGAGCGACTGCGCGGAAAGAGCTACTTCCTTTTGTGGGTGGCGGCGAACGCGGAGACAGCACCATGAAGGCCTCCGGCACAGTAAGACGCGCGCGGCGAGGCTGGGAGACGAGGGACGCGGCTTGAGCCGCCTCGTGGGGCCCGGCGAGGCGGCGTGGACCGGGTGGGAGCTGTGGGCGATGCGGTCCGCGCCCCCCTGCCCCATGAGCTGCCGGCTCGCTGCGGCCAATATGGCGGCCATGGCGGGGGCCGCGTGGGGCGGCGGGTGCGGGGCCGGAGGATGGATGGTCGGGAGTGCAGTCGGGGGAGAAGAGAGAGGCGCTGTGACTCAGTTTCCCTGAATGTAAAGCGGGGATAGTGGTCGTTTGTGTCTTGGTCCGGCGGGAGGAGGAGAAGGGGGGGTGACGAAGTCGGGGTGCGGAGTTGAACCCGTGGGTGCTTGGATTGCAAAATTGAAGGGGGCAGGTGGGGGAGCATCCGGAGCTTTTAAGGAATTTGTAAAAAAAAGTGAAAACAGGCGGGCGGGCCGTATGCGGTTCCCAGCCTCAGTTTCTCTCCCTCCCCTCCCCCCCGCGCCTCCTGGGGCGTGGGATCAGAGGTCAAGCGGGGGTTGGGGGGCACCCCGTCTTGCCCCTTGGGACCCGGATGGTGGCGGAAATGGGGAAGCGCGGCTCAGATCCCCGAGTCCGTCTGTCCCGTCTGTCCGTCCGTCCGTCCGTCCCCCCAGCTCCGGGAGTACAAGGTCGTGGGGCGCTGCCTGCCGACCCCCAAGTGCCACGCGCCGCCGCTGTACCGCATGCGCATCTTCGCGCCCAACCACGTCGTCGCCAAGTCGCGATTCTGGTACTTCGTGTCGCAGCTGAAGAAGATGAAGAAGTCCTCGGGGGAGATCGTGTACTGCGGGCAGGTGCGGGCAGAGTGCGGCCCCCGGGCGGGGTCACTGTCACTGTCCCCCCCCCAGTACCACCCCCATCACTGTCGCCTCACTGTCACCTCCATCGCCGCCCGGCCCGCAGGTGTTCGAGAAGTCCCCGCTGCGCGTGAAGAACTTCGGCGTGTGGCTGCGCTACGACTCCCGCAGCGGCACGCACAACATGTACCGCGAGTACCGCGACCTGACCACGGCGGGCGCCGTCACGCAGTGCTGTGAGCGCCCGGGCCCTGCGCGCCCCTGACCCCGCCGCGCCCCAACCCAAAAAGCCGCTGCTTGCGGTAGCAGGGGTTTCAGCGATGGCGCGCACAGCAAGGGGCCTCGTCGCCTTTGGGGGGCTGCGGCCGTGCCCCAAAGTGAATGTGGAGGTTCTACAACCTTGCGTCCCCGGGCTGGGGTGGCCGCCATTGTCTGCCCAGCTTGACGCTGTCCTCTCTCCGCAGACCGCGACATGGGCGCCCGGCACCGCGCCCGCGCGCCACTCCATCCAGATCATGAAGGTGGAGGAGATCGCGGCCAGCAAGTGTCGCCGGCCGGCCGTGAAGCAGTTCCACGTGAGCGCCCGGGGCGGGCGGGGACGCTGACGCAGGAGCCCCGGGGGCGGCCATGCCTGGGTGGCCTGGAGGACTGTGGAGAGGCCTCTGTCCCTCACCCCCTGTTCTGCCCACAGGACTCCAAGATCAAGTTCCCGCTGCCCCACCGCGTCCTGCGGCGCCAGCACAAGCCCCGCTTCACCACCAAGAGGCCCAACACCTTCTTCTAGACGCGCCCTGTCGCCCCAATAACCTAGGGACCCACTTCCGGCTCCCTTGTGTACTTTCCCGGGCCCCACGCGGCACCCAGGGCACCCATGGCCGCAGGTCACCTCCCGCCAAGAGCCTCCCTGCAAACAAAAGGCGCTGCACCTGGCCAGGGGCCCAAACCCTTGTCAGCCAGGCCTTGGCCGCAGCCTGTGCTCCCGTGTGTGCTCTGCTGCCGCGCAGGGGCCTCGAGCCCCACCCCCCTGCGTCTCTCTCAGGCCTGAGGGTCCCCTCCTGGGGAATTCTAGGCTAATGTCACCCGTTCTGCCTGTTGGAGAGGAACAGGGGCTCTGGTCCTGGTCCTGGGCTGCCGTGCACTCTGAATTACCAGTGCTGGGAAGTGACCTCTAGGTCCCTCCTTGGTGTCTCACACAGCCCTGGGGCCGGGAGTGCCCAGGTC